CAAATCGAAGAATTGAAGAACTGAAAAATCGAAAAACTGAAAAATTGCAAATTTTAAGAAATTGAAGAAACCAATAAATGAAAAATTGAAAAATCGCAAATCGAAACATTGATAAATGAAATAATTAAAAAAATAAAGAAAATAAAAAACCGAAACGAAAAACTGCATCTCAAAAATTTGAAGAAATGATAAATTAAAACTGACAAACTGACAATTTTAAATATGAAAATTTGAAAAATTGAAAAAATTTAAATTGAAAAAACAAAAAATATAAAACCGGACCATTAAAAAATCGAAAAATTGAAAAAGAAAAAATTAAAAACTCTAGACATCTTAATTTAAAAATTGCAAGATATAAACAAAAACCCAGAAGAGAAAAATTCAAAAATCGAAAAATTGCAAATTTTAAGAAATTGAAGAAACCAATAAATGAAAAATTGAAAAATCGCAAATCGAAACATTGATAAATGAAATAATTAAAAAAAATAAAGAAAATAAAAACCGAAACGAAAAACTGCATCTCAAAAATTTGAAGAAATGATAAATTAAAACTCGAAAAATTGAAAATTCGAAAAATTAAAAACTCGAAAAATTGACAAACTGAAAAATTTTAATTGAAAACTCGAAGAACATTGAAAAATTGTACAACTGTATAATCGGAAAATTAAAAACTGAAACATCGAAAAATTGAAAAAAAAACATCTTATAAAATCGAATTCGAAATGCCAGTTTTCATTTTCTAGTTTTTAGATTTTTCAACTTTTAAATATTTCATTTGATAATTTGTTTGACAATTTTGCAGTTTTTAATTCCAATCTTTTGATTTTTCAAATTTTAACTGTACAATTTTGGAATTTTTTGATTTTTAATTTTTCAAGTTCTCAAGTTAAAATTTTTCCTTTTCACGATTTGTCATTTTTCGATTTTTTAACTAAAAGAACAAATTTATTCGAACCGAAATTTTGAAAAACCGAAAAATCCAAAATTGAAAAATAGAACCAAAATTTTCAGATGTTTTAAAGTTACGGTAAACATGGCAGATTGCTGATCAAAATTACTTTTTACTCCCTTCCAAAAACCCGGTGACAAAAAATCAAAAATCGAAAATTAAAAAAAATAAACATCCATTTTCTCGATATTTTTAAAAATCAAATAATTGAGAAATAGGAAAACTGCCAAAATTGTAGAATTAAAAAACCGAAAGTTTTTTCGGTTGCCCAGAGAAATCAAAAATCGAAAGATAGATCAAAAAATTGAAAATTTAAAAAGCGAGAAATTGAAAAATTCGAACGTTGAAAAATCGAAAAACTGATCTAGTAGTACTCGCTACGATAAGACTGATTTTGGCAAATGATCTACTCTCTAAGAAAACAAAAGGCGGGTGGGTGGGGCTAGTATTTGCCAAAATAGGACTCATTTTGGCCAATGACCTACTGTTATAAGAAAATAAAGAATAGGTCATCTGCCAAAATCAGTCTTATCTTGGCAAGTATGAGACTGATTTTGGCAGATGATATATCCTCTAAAAAAAATAAGGGTGGGTGGGCGGGGCTGGTACTTGTTAAAATAAGACTAATTTTGGCAGATGACCCATTCTTCTAAGAAAATAAAAAAATTAGAAGAAATGAAAAATTAAAAGTCGAAAAATTGCAAAATCTAAACTCGAATGTTGGAAAATTGACAAACTGAAAAATTTTAATTGAAAATTAGGAAAATTGCAATTCAAAAAAATTGAAAAACCACAAATCGAGAAAATTGAGGAAACGAAAAATTGAAAAAACTGAAATTGAAAAAAGAAAAAAAAAGTTAAAACTAGAACATTGAAAAATGGAAAAATTGTAAAAATAATGAAAATAAAAAAACGAAATAAAAAAGTGCAAATCGAAAATTTGAAGACATGAAAAATTAAAAATTGGAAAACTCAAAAGTTGGAAAACTGACAAACTGACAATTTTAAATTTGAAAATTCGGAAAATTGAAAAAATTTAAATTGAAAAAACAAAAAAATATAAAACCGGAACATTAAAAAATCGAAAAATTATAAAAATAAAGGAAATAAAAAACCTACAGTGCAAATCGAAAAATTGAAAAAGAAAAAATTAAAAACTCCAGAAATCTTAATTTAAAAATTGCAAAATTTAAAAAAACCCCAGAAGAGAAAAATTAAAAAATCGCAAATCGAAGAATTGAAGAAACCAATAAATGAAAAATTGAAAAATCGCAAATCGAAACATTGATAAATGAAATAATTAAAAAAATAAAGAAAATAAAAAACCGAAACGAAAAACTGCATCTCAAAAATTTGAAGAAATGATAAATTAAAACTCGAAAAATTGGAAACTCGAAAAATTGACAAATTGAAAAATTTTAATTGAAAACTTGAAAATTGCAAATCAAAAAAATTGAAAAAACAAACAATTATAAAACCACAACATTGAAAAATTGTACAACTGTATAATCGGAAAATCAAAAACTGAAATATCGAAAAATTGAAAAAAAACAAATCTAATAAAATCAAATTCGAAATTTCAGTTTTCATTTTTTTTTTGTTTTTAAATTTTTCAAATTTTAAATATTTCATTTGATAATTTGTTTGACAATTTTGCAGTTTTTAATTCCAATCTTTTGATTTTTCAAGTTTTAACTTTCCATTTTTTTAATTTGTTGATTTTTAATTTTTCAAGTTCTCAAGTTAAAATTTTTCCTTTGCACGATTTGTCATTTTTCGATTTTTTAACTAAAAGAGCAAATTTATTCGAACCGAAATTTTGAAAAACCGGAAAATCCAAAAATTGAAAATTAGAACAAAAATTTTCAGATGTTTTAAAGTTCCGGTAAACATGGCAGATTGCTGATCAAAATTGCTTTTTACTCCCTTCCAAAAACCCGGTGACAAAAAATGATCTAGTAGTACTCGCTACGATAAGACTTGCCAAAATCAGTCAAATGATCTACTCTCTAAGAAAACAAAGGGCGGGTGGGTGGGGCTAGTATTTGCCAAAATAGGACTCCTTGTAGCCAATGACCTACTGTTATAAGAAAATAAAGAATAGGTCATCTGCCAAACTCAGTCTTATCTTGGCAAGTATGAGACTGATTTTGGCAGATAACATATCCTCTAAAAAAATAAGGGTGGGTGGGCGGGGCTAGTACTTGTTGAAATAAGACTAATTTTGGCAGATGACCCACTCTTCTAAGAAAATAAAGGGTGGGTGGACGGAGCAAGTACCTTTTCTTAGAAGAGTAGGTCATTTGCCAAAATGAGTCTTATTTTTATTTTTTTAGAGGATAGATTATTTGTACTAGCGAATTTCGACCCATTTTCGACGATTTTCAAAATTTAAGTAAACACTTTTTCTTGTAGATTTCGGGGCGCAGAAGTCACTTCCAGCCTCATTTCTTCGATAACTTCAACCCTTTTTCGAGAATTAGTTAATTAATTCAGTGCATGAAATATCACAATTTTTAAAAATTTCAAAAAATTCAATGCAACACGTACAGAAAGAAGATCTTGTGTCATTTTTGCAAGTAGGTGCATGTTTTCAAGTTCAGTTCGGATTGCAGAGTTTTTGTTCGGAATCAAGGGATACCGACTTCAACTATAGAGGTTATGCTGTACTTCATAAATATATACATTATAGTTGGAAATTTTAAAGTAGTAGGTAAGGCTTCAATATTTTAAAAACTGTTTCTTCGACCATCAAAAATTGAATCGGAAAATTCTGAAGCTCCGTTTTAATTCCAACAAAAACTGTAAATTCAAGATCTTCATGGTATAAGGCGGTTTTATCCTAGTTTTAAAGTTAAAATTCTGAGACGATAATATCGAAGTTTTGAGATTTTCGAAGTTTCAACTTCAAAATTCGAAATATTCCTACTAGTCTAGAAATTCAAAAACCGATACTTGAGATACAATATCTTAGTAATTTCCAGACTTTACTACTTAAAAAGTAGAAAATCGAAACAATTTAGGCTAGAAATCCAAAAATCGATATTGGAGATCTCGAAGCTTAAACTATCAGATGTTTCCAAAGTTTAGTACCTGAAAAGTCAAAGTTTTGCAGTTCATTTTAAAGCTTTTACGTTTGTTTTAGAAAGAAGTGCGAGTTCTAATTGTTGGCAAAATCGCTTCCTTTTAATGTAAAGAACAGTAAAATTTTAAAACTAAGGATTTGCGAGTTATGTCAAAATTTCATTGTTTAAAATGTTAAGGCTTCATATTTGACGGTTTTTTCTTAAATATCTAAAAATATATCTTCGAAATTTTAAAAGTCAAAATTTTAAAACAATGTTGCAAACCTTCCGATTTAAAAAGTCAAAGCCTTGAAGTTAATTTTGACTTTCTACTACTTTTCACAAGAAAAACACGTCAATTTCTTTATATAATTTTATTTCGTTTTACTGAAACTGATAGAGAAATTTTGACACCGAAACTCTAGACGTATCTACGACATAAGTAGCTGAAAATTTTAAAACAGTAAAATTTTGATATTTAAAATTTTTATTTCAGAAAAAACTGTAAATTTTAGTTTTCATGCTATAATTCTGTTTTATCAACATTATGATACAACATCGAAATTTTGAGATTTAAAATTTTGAAACACCGAAAAATCCAAAAATTGGAAATTAGAAACAAAATTTTCAGAAGTTTTAAAGCAGTAGCCCCGCCCACCCACCCTCTCTTCATTCCAGTGACTCCTCTTAATATTGTTCAGTTTTATCTTAGCAAGTTTTAGCCCCGCCCACCCGCCCTCTATTTTCTTTGAGACTATGTCATTTGCCACAATCAGTCTTATCTTAGTATTAAAAACTGAAATTATAGAAAACTTGAAGATACCAATTTCAACTAAAAATTCAGGATTGCCAACAGACTCAATCAAAAGGCTCTTATTTCTGTAATTAAAATTGACTGATGTGCTAGCTTTTGAGTAAAATTCATTACCTCGGCGTTGCCAAGTTGTCAGCCCCAAATAATAATTTGTTGATGTTGTTTGTCTTACCTAACCGGCCTCCATCTCCATTTCCCCACGAATAAACATCGTAGTCTTGAGTCAGCGCCAAGAAGTGTTTACCTTCGGGATGCGCGGCGATTTTAACAATTTCCTTATCTTGAAAAGCTACAAGTCGATTAATACACCTTCTTCAAACAGCCAACAACTCACCTTCCAACACCTGGGGACACTGCGTGTCCGACGAATAATACATGAAGTAGACTTTCCCGCTTTGCGTCAACATCAAAATCGTGCGATCCGAGCAGCAAATCTGCTTGACCGTCAACTCGGAGATGGTGTCGCAGTTCTGGGGCCCGACGCCGAAGGTCCACGAGAACCAGCCCCAGCCGAAAACGCGCTGGCCGTTGTAGTAAAAATTCGACTGAAACGTGACCATCAGGGGGCGTTGGACAAGTAAGGAGTGCTACCTTGTTGAAAGACAGTGGCGGTATGTGGGGCGTCGCTAGTCTGTCGAGGTGCGCCATCATGAAACTCGCGCCTTGCTTCAAATCCACTTCGAGGGCGTCGTCGTCGGGGAGTTCGACGAAGTTGAGGAAGGTTTGAGTGCAAGTGAGATTCTCTTCGGGGTCTTTGTCGGAGAATTCGGGCGACGGTGACGGGATTTGAGAGAAGCGCTTGAGGAATGGCAGCAGAGGGGCGCTGGCCATTTGTGAGATGTTCCGGTTATCGTTGAGATTCGTTTGTTTGTCCCATAGGGTTAGGAGCAGCAGGACGATGTCGAGTATGCTGCTGAGAGTCCCTTTTTGGATGGCTAGTTCCATTAGGAGGTTCAGGGAGGTGTGTTGGTCTTCGATCGGAATGGCGAAGTTTTGTCTGCCTCCGCACATGTCACTGAAAATAGTGGGTGTAGAGAAAACATTTTTTTTGCGACGTTTGTTTGATAACCCCAATAAAGTAAAAATATTATTTCATTTTTTTGTTTCTTCAGTTTTCGATTTGCAATTTTTCGAGAATTTCAATTCTAGATTTTTTAGTTTCCCGAATTTTCAATTTTTCGTTTCATCAGTTTTTGATTTGCAAATTTACTAGTTTTCATTTCAAATATGTAATAATAATTGCAATTTTTAAAGTTTTTCACTTTTTCAGTTTTACGGTTCTAGAGTTTTCCTGTTTTTCCAAATTGGATTTTAAAACTTTTTCATTGATTTAGGAACTCAGTATTGGAAGTCAAAAATCTGAATTTATGATTTCGAACTGGATTTTCGAATCTGTGTTTTGGAATTCGCATTCAAGATTCGGATCCAAGAGTAAGGACTTGGCATTAAGAAGTGGGCATTAACGATTGAGGATTGAGGATCAAGGATCAAGGATGAAAGATGAAGAATCAAGGATCAAGGATGAAGGATCATATATGAGATATCAGACAAAATTCCGAGTTTATGATTTCGAACCGGATTTTCGAATTTGGGATTGGGAATTTCGAATCTGTGTTTTGGAATTCGAGACTCGCATTCAAGATTTGCATCCAAGAGTCAGGACTTGGCATTAAGAAGTGGGCATTAACGATTAAGGATCAAGGAAGAAGGATCAATGACGAAGGATCAAGGACGACGGATCAAGAACGAAGGATCAAGGACAAAGGATCAAGAATGAAGGACCAAGGAAGAAAGATCAAGGATGAAGGATCAAGCATAAAGGATGAAGGATCAAGGATGAAGGATCATGTATGAGATATCAGTCAAAATTCAGAGTTTATGATTTCGAACTGGATTTTCGAATTCAAAACTTGCATTCAAGATTCGGATCCAAGAGTCAGGATTTGGCATTAAGAAGTGGGATTTAACGATTAAGGATCAAGGATGAAGGATCATATATGAGATATCAGACATGAATCAGGTATCAGCAATCAATTCTCAAGGACCAAGGATCAAATGCTAGAACCAAGAACCACAGATGGATCAAGAAGGAAGAATCAAGGATCCATTAAGCAACCTCCAGACTCGGGACTCGAGGCATTGGATATTCGAATTTAGGATTCGGTATTTAGAATTTGGGGTTTGGGATTTGGATTTTGGAATTCAAGTTTCAATTTCTCGATCTTGCAATATTTTTTCGATTAGATTCGTTTTTTCTTCTTTCCAATTTTTCGATTCATTAATTTTTTTCGATTTTTGAGCTTTTCGATATTTAGTTTTTCGTTTCTTCATTTTTCGATTTTTAATTTTTCGAATGTTCATCTCTTCGAATAAAAAAAAAGGGAAAAACTGCAAAATTGTAAAAACAAAAATGAAAAAACCAAAAAGTATAAAATGAAAACTTTGGAAAATCTAAAAATTGAGTATCAAGAACTTGCAAAATCGAAAAAACAAAAACTGAAAAAGGAAAAAATGAAATACATATTGTAATATGGAAATATTGAAAATTAAAAGAATTGGAAAATCGGATAATTGAGAAATCCAAAGATTGCAAAGGCGAAAAATTTAAAAATTGGAAAATCTAAAAATTGAAATATTAAAAATTGAAAATTTGAAAAATTGAATAAACGAAGAATCGAGAAAATGAAAATTGAAATATAGTAATATCGAAAAATTTGGAAGTCGCGACATTAAAAAATTTAAAAAAAATTCGAGTCACGGTGACGGTATGATCAAGGATGAAGTATCAAGGAAAAAGGATCAAGGAAAAAGGATTGAGGACCAAGGACCAAGGATGAAGGATCAAGGGTCAAGGATGAAGGACCAAGAATGAAGGATCAAAGATGAAGAATGAAGGATCAAGAATGAAGGATCAAGGATCAAGAATGAAGGATCAAGGATCAAGATTGAAGGATCAAGGATGAAGAATTAAGGATCAAGGATGAAGAATGAAGGATCAAGGATGAAGAATGAAGGATCAAGGATGAAGAATGAAGGATCAAGGATCAAAGATGAAGAATCAAGGATGAAGGATCAAGGATGAAGTATCAAGGATGAAGGACCAAGGATGAAGGATCAAGGGTGAAAGATCAAGGATGAAGGATCAAGAACCAAGTATTAAGAATCAAGTATGAAGAATCAAGTATCGAAGATAAAGGATCGAGGATGAAGGATTAAGGATAAAGGATCAAGGATGAAGGATCCTGTATGAGACATCAAAAATGATTCAGGTATCAGAAATCAGTTATCAAGGACCAATTACTGCAAGGATCTAGTACCAAAGACCACAGATTTTTTTTAGTTTTTCGATCTTTAATTTGTCGATTGTTCAACTCTTCGAATAAAAAAAAAGGGAAAACCTGCAAAATTGTAAAAACAAAAATGAAAAAACCAAAAAGTATAAAATAAAAACTTTGGAAAATCTAAAAATTGAGTATCAAGAACTTGCAAAATCGAAAAAACAAAAACTGAAAAAGGAAAAAATGAAATACATATTGTAATATGGAAATATTGAAAATTAAAAGAATTGGAAAATCGGATAATTGAGAAATCCAAAGATTGCAAAGACGAAAAATTTAAAAATTGGAAAATCTAAAAATTGAAATATTAAAAATTGAAAATTTGAAAAATTGAATAAACGAAGAATCGAGAAAATGAAAATTGAAATATAGTAATATCGAAAAATTTGGAAGTCGCGACATTAAAAAATTTAAAAAAAATTCGAGTCACGGTGACGGTATGATCAAGGATGAAGTATCAAGGAAAAAGGATCAAGGAAAAAGGATTGAGGACCAAGGACCAAGGATGAAGGATCAAGGGTCAAGGATGAAGGACCAAGAATGAAGGATCAAAGATGAAGAATGAAGGATCGAAGATGAAGGATGAAGGATAAAGGATGAAGGATGAAACACCAAGGATCAAGGATCAAGAATGAAGGATCAAGGATCAAGAATGAAGGATCAAGGATGAAGAATGAAGGATCAAGGATGAAAAATGAAGGATCAAGGATGAAGGATCAAGGGTGAAGGATCAAACATGAAGGATCAAGAATCAAGTATGAAGAATCAAGTATCAAAGATAAAGGATCGAGGATGAAGGATTAAGAATGAAGGATCAAGGATGAAGGATCCTGTATGAGATATCAAAAATGATTCAGGTATCAGAAATCAATTATCAAGGACCAATTACTGCAAGGATCTAGTACCAAGGACCACAGATTTTTTTTTAGTTTTTCGATCTTTAATTTGTCGATTGTTCAACTCTTCGAATAAAAAAAAAGGGAAAAACTGCAAAATTGTAAAAACAAAAATGAAAAAACCAAAAAGTATAAAATGAAAACTTTGGAAAATCTAAAAATTGAGTATCAAGAACTTGCAAAATCGAAAAAACAAAAACTGAAAAGTTAAAAAAAGAAAAAATGAAATACATATTGTAATATCGTAATATTGAAAATTAAAAGAATTGGAAAATCGGATTATTGAGAAATCCAAAAGTTGCAAAAGCGAAAAATTTAAAAATTGGAAAACCGAGAAATTGAAAAATTAAAGATTAAAAATTTGAAAAATTTAATAAACGAAGAATCGAGAAAATGAAAATTACAAAATTGAGAAAATAAAAAATAAAAATCAAGAACTTGAAAAATTGAGAAAACGAAGATTTGAAAAATCGAAAAATGAAATATAGATATGATAAAGGATGAAGGATCAATGACCAAGGATGAAGGATCAAGGGCCAAGGATGAAGGACCAAGAATCAAGGGTGAAGGATCAAGGATAAAGGATGAAGGATGAAAGATCAAGGATGAAGGATCAATATTGAAGGATCAAGGATCAATGATCAAGGATGAAGAATGAAGGATCAAGGATGAAGAATGAAGGATCAAGGATGAAGAATGAAGGATCAAGGATGAAGAATGAAGGATCAAGGATCAAGGATGAAGGATCAAAGATGAAGGACCAAGTATGAAGGATCAAGTATGAATATTCAAGTATCAAAGATGAAGGATCGAGGATGAAGGATCAAGGATGAAGGATGAAGGATCAAGGATGAAGGATCAAGGATGAAGGATCAAGGATGAAGGATCAAGGATGAAGGATCAAGGATGAAGGATCAAGGATGAAGGATCAAGGATGAAGGATCAAGGATGAAGGATCAAGGATGAAGGATCAAGGATGAAGGATCATGTATGAGATATCAAAAATGATTCAGGTATCAGAAATCAATTATCAAGGACCAATTACTACAAGGATCTAGTACCAAGGACCAATGACCACAGATTTTTTTTTTTAATTTTTCGATCTTTAAATTTTCGATTGTTCAACTTTTCGAATAAAAAAAAATGGAAAAGTTGCAAAGTTGTAAAATCAAAAATGAAAAAACGAAAAAGTGTATAATGAAAACTTTGAAAAATCTAAAAACTGAATATCAAGAATTTGCAAAATCGAAAGATCAAAAACTGAGAAACTTAAAAACCAAAAAAATGAAATATTAAAAAATCGACAATTTTAAAAATTGGAAAATTGGATAATTGAGAAATCCAAAAATTGCAAAACTGAAGAATTTAAAAATTGAAAAACCGAGGAATTGAAAACTCGAAGATTGAAAATTTGAAAAATTGAATAAACGAATAATTGAGCTGTAAAATCGAAAAAATGAAAATTACAAAACTGGGAAAATAAAAAATAAAAATCAAGAACTTGAAAACTTGAGAAAATAAAGAATTGGAAAATCGAAAAATGAAAAACAGTAACTTCGAAAAATTGAAAAAACGAAAGATTGAAAAATTTGGAAGTCGCGAAATGAAAAAATTGAAAAAAAATCGGGCGACGGTGACGGTGGGGTCAAGGATCAAGGATGAAGGATAAATAATCAATGATCAAGGAACAAGGATCATGTATGAGATATCAGAAATGCATCAGGTATCAGAAATCAATTATCAAGGACCAACTACTGAGGACCAAGAATCAAGTGCCAAGGACCAAGGACCACAGATCAATCAAGAAGGAAGAATCAAGGATCCAGGACTCGAGTCTGAGAGACCAAGAGTCAGGATTTAGAAATCATGATTGATGTTTTATCACTCAGGACTTACGATTCGGGATTTAGAATCTGGGGTTTGGGATTTCGGGTTTTGGAATTCAAGTTTCAATTTTCGATATTTACAATTTTTCGATCTTGTAATGTTTTTTTCGATTAAATTCGTTTTTTCTTCTTTCCGATTTTTCCATTCATTAATTTTTTAGATTTTGACTTTTTCAATGTTTCAGTTTTTTGTTTCTTCATTCTTCGATTTGCAATTTTTCGGTTTTTCGATTTTTCAATTTTTTCCTTTTTTTAGTTTTTCGATCTCTAATTTTTCGATTGCTCAACTTTCGAATAAAAAAAATGGAAAAGTTGCAAAGTTGTAAAATCAAAGATGAAAAAACCAAAAAGTGTATAATGAAAACTTTGAAAAATCTAAAAATTGAATATCAAGAATTTGCAAAATCGAAAGATCAAAAACTGAGAAACTTAAAAATCAAAAAATGAAATATTAAAAAATCGAAAATTTAAAAAATTGGAAAGTTGGTTAATTGAGAAATCCAAAAATTGCAAAACTCAAGAATTTAAAAATTGAAAAACCGAGGAATTGAAAACTCAAAGATTGAAAATTTGAAAAATTGAATAAACGAATAATTGAGCTGTAAAATCGAAAAAATGAAAATTACAAAACTGGGAAAATAAAAAATAAAAATCAAGAACTTGAAAGCTTGAGAAAATGGAGAATTGAAAAATCGAAAAATGAAAAATAGTAACTTCGAAAAATTGAAAAAACGAAAGATTGAAAAATTTGGAAGTCGCGAAATTAAAAAATCGACGAACGGTGACGGTGGGGTCAAGGATCAAGGATGAAGGATAAATGATCAATGATCAAGGAACAAGATGTATGAGATATCAGAAATCAATTATCAAGGACCAACTACTGAGGACCAAGGATCAAGTGCCAAGGACCAAGGACCACAGATCAATCAAGAAGGAAGAATCAAGGATCCAGGACTCGAGTCTGAGAGACCAAGAGTCAGGATTTAGAATCTGGGGTTTGGGATTCGGGTTTTGAAATTCAAGTTTCAATTACTCGATATTTAGAATTTTTCGATCTTGCAATGTTTTTTTAGATTAAATTCGTTTTTTCTTCTTTCCGATTTTTCCATTCATTAATTTTTTTGATTTTTACTTTTTCAATGTTTTCCTTTTTTTTTAGTTTTTCGATCTCTAAGTTGTAAAATCAAAAATGAAAAAACGAAAAAGGATAAAATGAAAACTTTGAAAAATATAAAAATTGAATATCAAGAATTTGCAAAATCGAAGGATCAAAAACTGAGAAACTTAAAATAAAAAAAAAGAAATATTCGATTTTACAATATTTCATTTTTTTTGAAGAATGTTGAAATTAAAAAAAATTGAAAAATCCAAAAATTGCAAAATTGAATAAACGAAGGATTATGCTATAAAATCGAGGAAATGAAAATTACAAAACTGAGAAAATAAAGAATAGAAAAATCGAAAAATTACGAAACTGAAACATCGAAAAATGGAAAAATTGAAAAATTAAGGAAAATGAAAAATTGTTATATCAAAAAATTGGTCGAAGGCAAACAAAACCAAATTTTTCGGAAAATTACAAGATTGGATTTTGCGAATTTTATTTTTTTATGATAACCCTTATAAGTTAAACTAATGATATTTTCGTACTCTAGAGGTCATGAAACGTGGAAACAACATGAAAGTAGCAATTCGCCCTATTGACTCAATTACTTTTTACTTAGTATATTCGCGTTTTTTTTTTTAATAATAATAATAATAACATAACCTCACCCTGTAATCACTTGTCGCAAAAATTTCACTGAACTCTCCACCACTTCAAGCCACACTGGTGACACCTCCCCCTGCTGGAAAAGCGTGGCCACAGGCAACATTTGTAACGCCTCCAAAGATTCGGTCAACAATTCACTACACAAATCTATATCTTCACCTACAACACACAACGTTAGGTCAATAAAAACCCTAAGCACGACATACCCATTCGCCAGGCCTTCCTCAAAAACGCGAATGCGAAATTGAGGGCCGCCCTCGACCCCACCCTCGCCAACCCCACGGCGGGATCCAAATTCCACGTCTTGCTTTTCCCTAACTTAACTAAGTTCCTAGTTTGAAGAGATTCAGTCGATTTCCTACTAGTAATCAGCCCGTGCTCGTAATCCACGGAATGCGGAACCCTGTTGAGAGCTACAAAGTAGCGCTTTAAAATCACAAGTCTGAAGTGCAGTCGTGTGGCCGAAAGCGTCGAACTGGCGGCCTCTCCACAGAGCAACTTCTGCTCGGCGTTGAGACTCGAGATGAACTGCGAGAGTTGTTCAAGGGCTGGAATAACTAAATTATTGAGAGTTGTTGTTGTTGTGGTTCTTACTTGGCTGTGGGGTCCACGCCCACCTCGCCAACAGGCTCTCCGTGCTGGGCAGCGCCTCCTTGCCCTCCTTCTGCGCTGATTCCTCGCTGTCCAGCTTCTGGCACGGCTGGCAGTTGCAGCCCGTCGAGGGCCCACAAATCCCATCACAACAAGTGCACGTTAATACCTTCTGGTTGCAGTAATACTTCCCGAACTCGCCCTTTCGCGCCGTGACCCCCGCACTGTTCAACAGCCCGTCTGAAAAGGCACCGGTGACTTCCCCGTCCGCTATGAGACTGTTCCAGCAATTTATGAGGCTGCTCTCTTCGGTGAGTATATTCTGGAGATCGCTTTTAAGCCACTTGAGATCCAATCGAGGCTGGGGCCTCAGAGTCGTCTCGAGATGAGACATACCGTTTGTTTATTTTACCATCTGCAATACAAATATTAGAATTTTTTATTAACAAAGCGAATGACAGATGGCAGGTGACAAATTATTCATTTGTTTTGTGGTGATTGATATACAGTGTGACATTTGCGGGATTTCTGAATGAAAACGATTGATTCGAGGTGTGGGGTTGGGGGCGGCGACATTTCAACGAAAGCGATTACCTGGGGGTTGAGTGTCTTCGGCGAACTATAACAATGCGAATTATTGGAGTTACAGTCGATCAGATCGACAAAAACGGAGTGGGCTGCTGTAATGGAGTCGCCATTACGCAGACGGGATGGAGGTGTTTTGTTGGTTGCATAGTCGCGGGGGTTTGAAGTTTGTTGAACTTTATTGAACGGTTCGGAGCGAGTTTTAAACAAATAATTATGTTGTGGTTTAGCGATGTTTTATGCAAATGATTTCGTGGAAGTTGCTACATTTTCGTAAAAAGTGAAGGTTAAAGTGTTCTATTCGACGGTTAAAACACAGGGCCGGATTGAAGAGAAAAACACACCTGGAATTTGTCGGCATGCAATAACCAGTTAAATGATTGTTAATATTTCTAGTCCCTGTAGATTAAAAATAATAATAATTCAGTACACAGAGCAACAATTTGAGTAGAAAAAATTGGTCTCTCGTTTCCGTCTGTCTGTCTGTCTGTCTGTCTGTCCACCGTCTGTGTCAATTTTTGTTAGACAGATGATCTCCGAAACTACCGCATCGATTTCTTTGTTTAACCATCCTCACCAACAATGTGATGACGTCACTTAAAAATTGTACATAGGAAATCACACGTGTAGCTTATGAATCCGTGTAGTTTTACCCCAGACATCCAGATTTTTGGAAAAAAATCAACATTGTGTGACAACATTATGTACCTAATATAAGTTTTGAAACTGCAAAATCCCAAAAAAGTACTTGTGGTTCGCGAATCCATGTTCAGTTTTTACCTTCTACGTCAAGATTTTTGGAAAAAAGACGCCAAAAACCGAATTTTAAGGTTATCGTAACCACGGTAAATCGATGGAACTTTGTCTCCTCCCTTCACCCAAATTTATGACGTCATGGCCAAATTTTACCCGATACATCTCATTATCTAAAATATGCAAACCGGTTTTCCCTTTGCAAACACGAAAAAAAAATTCAAAATTAAATTGCCTACAGGCGGGATTTGTTGGAATATACTTCAGAGGTGAGGAAAGTTCTTTCGAAATAACTTTCAATAATTTCTTTAGATTATTGAAATTCTTTAGCATTTTAGTTAAAATGCCAAATTAAACTGCACTACTGTCTCAACATTTTTCCAAATAAATCCTAACTAAAGAAGTAAAATATTATGACTCCATACTTGTGATTTATCATTCATATTCATAGTTTTTATAATTACGTATTTATACAGGTACTTTTTTTTAATAATGTGAAACCTCAGAGTTCCCAACTGACTATTTTTTATTAAAGAAAGTAAAACATTCTCGGGGGCGCCAAGTGTCTTTTTTTTTAAAGAAAGTGAAACCCGCTCGGGGGTCCCAATTGTTTCCTCTTTTTTAAGAAGTTGAAACCTTCTCGGGCGCCCCAACTGTCTTTTTAAAGAATGTGAAACCTTCTCGGGGACCCAACTCTCTTTTTTTAAGAAGACGAAACCTTGTCAGGTACCCCAACTGTTTTTTTAATAATGTGAAACCTTCTCGGGGTTCCCAACTGTCATTTTTTAAGGTGAAACCTTCTCGAAGGCCCCAAGTGTCTTGTTAAAGAATGTGAAACCTTCTCGGGAACCCAGCTCTCTTTATTTAAGATGAAACCTTGTCAGGAACACCAACTGTCTTTTTTTAAATAAAGTGAAACCTTCTCGGGGATACCAACTGTTTCTTTTTTTTTTAAGAAGTTGAAACCTTGTCAGGAACCCCATAAGTGTCTTTTTTTAAATAAACCTACTCGGGGACCCAACTCTTTTTTTTTTAAGAAAATGAAACCTTCTCAGAGACCGTAACTGTTTTTTTTTTAAGTGTGAAACCTTCCCGGGGGTCTCAACTGTCTTTTTAAAGAATGTGAAACCTTTTCGGGGACCCAACCCTCTTTTTTTTAAGAAAATTAAACCTCAGCGACCTCAAATGTTTTTTTAATAATGTAAAACCTTCTCAGGGATCCCAAATGTCTTTTTTAAAGAAGGTGAAACCTTCTCGAAGGCCCCAACTGTCTTTTTTTTTTAAGAAAGTAAAACATTCTCGGGGTCCCCAAGTGTCTTTTTTTGAAAGAAAGTCAAACCTTCTCGGGGGTCCCAATTGTTTCTTTTTTTTTAAGAAGTTGAAATCTTCTCGGGAGACCCAAGTGTCTTTTTTGAAAGAAAGTGAAAGCTTCTCGGGGCTTCCAACTGGTTTTTTTTAGTGAAACTTTCTCGGAGTTCCCAAGTGTCTTTTTCTTTAAAGCAGGTGGAACCTTCTCGGGCGTCCCAACTGTCTTTTTAAAGAATATGAAACCCTCTCGGGGACCCAACCCTTTTTTTTTTTAAGAAGGTGGAAGCTTCTCAGGAACCCCAACTGGTTTTTTCTAATACATAATGTAAAATTTTCTCGGGGTTGCCAGCTGTCAATTTTTAAAAAAGATGAAACCTTCGCAAAGGCTCCAACTGTCCTTTTTTTAAAAGAAAGTGAAACCTCGGGGGCCCAAATAAGTGTCTTTTTTTTAAATAAAGTGAAACCCATTCGGGGACCCAACTCTTTTTTTTTTAAGAAAATGAAACCTTCTCAGGGGCCCCAAGTGTCCTTCTTTTAAGTGTGAAACATTTTCGGGGACCCAACTCACTTGTTTTTTAAGAAAATGAAACCTCGGGGACCCCAACTGTTTTTTTTAATAATGTGAAACCTTCTCGGGCTTGCCAACTGTCAATTTTTAAAAAAGGTGAAACCTTCTCAAAGGCCCCAACTGTCCTTTTTTTAAAAGAAAGTAAAACCTTCTCGTGGACTCAACTCTCTTTTTTTAAGAAAATGAAACCTTCTCAGGAACCCCAACTGTTTTTTTTTTTTAATAATGTAAAATCTTCTCGGGGTTGCCAACTGTCAATTTTTAAAAAAGATGAAACCTTCTCAAAGGCTCCAACTGTCCTTTTTTAAAAGAAAGTAAAACCTCGGGGGCCGAAATAAGTGTCTTTTTTTTAAATAAAGTGAAACTTACTCGGGGACAAAACTCTTTTTTTTTAAGAAAATGAAACCTTCTCAGGGGCCCCAACTGTTTTTTTTTAAATGTGAAACATTTTCGGGGACCCAACTCACTTGTTTTTTAAGAAAATGAAACCTCGAGGACCCCAACTATTTTTTTTTTTTTAATAATGTGAAACCTTCTCCGGCTTGCCAACTGTCAATTTTTAAAAAAGGTGAAACCTTCTCAAAGGTCCCAACTGTCCTTTTTTTAAAAGAAAGTAAAACCTTCTGGGGGGGTCCCAAATGTTTCTTTTTTTTTAAGCAGTTGAAACCTTCTCGGGGACCCAACTCTATTTTTTTAAGAAGATGGAACCTTGTCAGGAACCCCAACTGTTTTTTTTAGTAATATAAAACTTTCTCGGGGTTGCCAACTGTCAATTTTTAAAGCAGGTGAAACCTTCTCAAAGGCCCCAGCTGTCCTTTTTTTAAAATAAAGTAAAACCTTCTCGGGAGTCCCAACAGACTTTTTAAAGAATGTGAAACCTTTTCGGGAACCCAACCCTCTTTTTTTTAAGAAAATGGAACCTCAGGGATCCCAACTGGTTTTTTTTTAATAATGTGAAACCTTCTCAGGGATCCCAGATGTCTTTTTTTAAAGAAGGTGAAACCTTCTCGAAGACCCCAACTGTCTTTTTTTTTTAATAATGTGAAACCTTTTCGGGCTTGCCAACTGTCAATTTTTAAAAAAGGTGAAACTTTCTCAAAGGCCCCAACTGTCCTTTTTTTAAAAGAAAGTAAAACCTTCTCGGAAGTCCCAATTGTTTCTTTTTCTTTAAGAAGTTGAAACCTTCTCGAAGACTCAACTCTCTTTTTTTAAGAAAATGAAACCTTCACAGGGACCCCAACGCTTTTTTTTAATGTGAAACCTTCTCGGGGGTCCCAACTGTCTTTTTTTTTTAAGAAAGTGAAACCTTCTCAGGGGGCCCAAGTGACTTTTTTGAAAGAAAGTGAAAGCTTCTCCGGGGTCCCAACTGTCTTTTTTTAGTGAAACTTTCTCGGAGTTCCCAAGTGTCTTTTTCTTTAAAGCAGGTGGAACCTTCTCGGGGGCCTAAATGTCCTTTTTTTTTGAGAACCCCCAACTGTCTTTTTAAAGAATATGAAGCATTCTCGGGGACCCAACCCTTTTTTTTAACAAGATGAAACCTTATCGGGAGTCCCAACTGTCTTTTTAAAGAATGTGAAACCTTTTCGGGGACCCAACCCTCTTAAAAAAAAAAAAAATGAAACCTCGGGGACCCCAACTGTTTTTTTTTAATAATGTGAAACCTTCTCAGGGATCCCAGATGTCTTTTTTTAAAGAAGGTGAAACCTTCTCGAAGACCCCAACTGTCTTTTTTTTTTTAAGTAAAACATTCTCAGGGGCCCCAAGTGTCTTTTTGAAAGAAAGTAAAACCTTCACGGGGGTCCCAATTGTTTCTTTTTTTTCAGAAGTTGAAACCTTCTCGGGGACCCAACTCTTTTTTTAAGAAAATGAAACCTTCTCAGGGACCCCAACTGCTTTTTTTTTTAATGTAAAACCTTCTCGGGGGTTCCCAACTGTCTTTTTTTTTAAGAAACTGAAACCTTCTCAGGGACCCCACTGTTTTTTTTTTAAGTGTGAAACCTTCTCGGGGGTCCCGACTGTCTTTTTAAAGAATGTGAAACCTTTTCGGTGACCCAACTCTCTTTTTTTTTAAGAAAATGAAACCTCAGGGACCCCAACTGTTTTTTTTTTTAATAATGTGAAACCTTCTCAGGGATCCCAAATGTCCTTTTTTAAAGAAGGTGAAACCTTCTCAAAGGCCCCAACTGTCTTTTTTTTTAAAGAAAGTAAAACATTTTCGAGGGCGCGAAGTATCTTTTTTTGAAAGAAAGTAAAACCTTCTCGAGGGTCCCAAATGTTTCTTTTTTTTTAAGAAATTGAAACCTTCTCAGGGATCCAACTCTATTTTTTTAAGAAGATAGAACCTTGTCAGGAACCCCAACTGTTTTTTTTGTAGTAATGTAAAACCTTCTCGGGGTTGCCAACTGTCAATTTTTAAAGAAGGTGAAACCTTCTCAAAGGCCCCAGCTGTCCTTTTTTTAAAATAAAGTAAAACCTTCTCGGGGGCCCAAATAAGTGGTTTTTTTTTATAAAGTGAAACCTTCTCGGGGACCCAACTCTTTTTTTAAGAAAATGAAACCTTCTCAGGGACCCCAACTGATTTTTTTTTAAGTCTGAAACCTTCTCAGGGTGCCCAAGTGCTTTTTTGAAAGAAAGTGAAAGCTTCTTGGGGGTCCCAACTGTTTTTTTTTAGTGAAACTTTCTCGGAGCTCCCAAGTGTCTTTTTCTTTAAAGCAGGTGAAACATTCTCGGGGGCCTAAACGTCTTTTTTTAAAAACCCCCAACTGTCTTTTTAAAGAATATGAAGCCTTCTCGGGGACCCAACACTTTTTTTTAAGAAGTTGAAACCTTCTCGGGCGTCCCAACTGTCTTTTTAAAGAATATGAAACCTTCTCGGGGACCCAACCCTTTTTTTTTAAGAAGGTGGAACCTTCTCAGGAACCCCAACTGTTTTTTTTAATATTGTAAAACCTTCTCGGGGTTGCCAACTGTCAATTTTTAAAAAAGATGAAACCTTCTCAAAGGCTCCAACTGTCCTTTTTTTAAAAGAAAGTAAAACCTCGGGGGCCCAAATAAGTGTCTTTTTTTTAAATAAAGTGAAACCTTCTCGGGGACCCAAATCTTTTTTTTTTTAAGAAAATGAGACCTTCTCAGGGACCCCATCTGTTTTTTTTAAGTCTGAAACCTTTTCGGGGACCCAACTCACTTTTTTTTTTAAGAAAATGAAACCACAGGGACCCCAACTGTTTTTTTTTTTAATAATGTAAAACCTTCTCGGGCTTGCCAACTGTCAATTTTTAAAGAAGGTGAAACGTTCTCAAAGGCCCCAGCTGTCCTTTTTTTAAAATAAAGTAAAACCTTCTCGGGGGCCCAAATAAGTGTTTTTTTTTAATAAAGTGAAACCTTTTCGGGGACCCAACTCTTTTTTTTAAGAAAATGAAACCTTCTCAGTGACCCAAACTGTTTTTTTTTTTAAGTGTGAAACCTTCTCGGGAGTCCCAATTGTCTTTTTAAAGAATGTGAAACCTTTTCGGGGACCCAACTCTCTTAAAAAAAAAAAATGAAACCTCGGGGACCCCAACTGTTTTTTTTTAATAATGTGAAACCTTCTCAGGGTTCCTAAATGTTTTTTTTTAAAACTGTTTTTTTTTTTTTAATAATCTAAAAGCTTCTCGGGGTTGCCAACTGTCAATTTTTAAAAAAGATGAAACCTTCTCAAAGGCTCCGACTGTCCTTTTTTTAAAAGAAAGTAAAACCTCGGGGGCCCAAATAAGTGTCTTTTTTTTAAATAAAGTGAAACCTACTCGGGGACCCAACTCTTTTTTTTTTAAGAAAATGAAACCTTCTCAGGGACCCCAACTGTTTTTTTTAAGTGTGAAACATTTTCGGGGACCCAACTCACTTGTTTTTTAAGAAAATGAAACCTCGGGGACCCCAACTGTTTTTTTTAATAATGTGAAACCTTCTCGGGCTTGCCAACTGTCAATTTTTAAAAAAGGTGAAACCTTTTCAAAGGCCCCAACTGTCCTTTTTTTAAAAGAAAGTAAAACCTTGTTGGGGGTCCCAATTGTTTCTTTTTTTTAAGAAGTTGAAATCTTCTCGGGGACCCAACTCTCTTTTTTAAGAAAATGAAACCTTCTCAGAGACCCCAACTGTTTTTTTTAATGTGAAACCTTCTGGGGCGTCCCAACTGTCTTTTTAAAGAATATGAAACCTTCTCAGGAACCCAACTGGTTTTTTTTTTTTTTTAATAATCTGAAACCTTCTCGGGGTTCCAAACTCTCATTTTTAAAGAAGGTGAAACCTTCTCGAAGGCCCCAACTGTCTTTTTTTAAAGAAAGTAAAACATTTTTGGGGGCCCCAAGTGTCTTTTTTTTTAATAAAATGAAACCTCGGGGACCCATTTCTCTTTTTTTAAGAAAATGAAATCTTCTCAGGGACCCCAACTGTTGTTGTTTTACTAATGTGAAACCTTCTCGGAATCTCGGGGTTCCCAACTGTCATTTTTTAAGAATGTGAAACCTTCTCAGGGGTCCCAACTCTCTTTTTTTTTTAAGAAAATGAAACCATCTCAAGGATCGCAACTGTCTTTTTTAAGAATGTGAAACTTTCTCAGGGTTCCCAACTGTCTTTTTTTAAAGAAGGTGAAATCTTTTCGAAGGCCCCAACCTTCTTTTTTTAAGAAAGTGGAACCTTATCGGGGACCCAACCCTTTTTTGTGTAAAAAGATGAAACTTTTTTTCTCTTACACTGTGACTAGTGCTTTCTACATTGTTTTTACTCCGTAGATTGTCACAAAAAAGTAAAATTTCATAATTTTTCAAAGAAGCAGGATTATTTCAGTAAGCATGGTACATACAAGTAAACAGTTTACTTGTACCATGTCAGTAAGTATGTAATGAATGAGATATCGAGGAACGTGTTCGTATAATGACACTTTGTACATATTGTCAATAGATAAATTGAAAAAAGGGTCAAAGAACTGCGATTAATTTGTAGTGTTATCTTTTGTTTGTCATTTTGTACTTTGTATATGTAATAATTATGTGCATGTACTACCTTTTTACGTCGTTTCATTGATGTTTCCTTGACAAGGTCCACATTCAAATGAACTTTATATGAAAGTGTTGTATATTTATGACTTAATAAAAAAAAATATACAGCCACCTGCAAAAATAAAAAAAAATGAATTAATTTCAGTCTGAAATATTTAACATTTATGAAAAGAACGCTTTGACATGCACAGGGTGTTGATCCCACCAAAATCCCTAGACCGATTTCCATTATTGATCCGGCCCTGCACCCTACACATGGTTGGCTTGTTGTAGGCAACCAGTAACGCACCAAACCGCAGCCTTCTTCGCGTTTTAAAAAATGCTTTTTCATCAATGACAGTTCGTTCTGGAAGCCCCCTCACTCTCTATCACTCCACGGCGTCTTTCGACCTGCTCCTAAACCCCACCACTAAAAATAAATTAAAAAAAAAACACCAATCACCCCGGCCACTGTCTGCGCCAGCACGCCACTGCCGCGCCCCGCCCCCGCCGCCTCATCTGTCAAGTGCCGCGTAAAGTTCGACTTGAAATATTGTTTATAAGCCGCTGAAAATCGATTAGATTAATCGCAGTCATGTTTTAAGCGCGTTCGAGTTCGCTCAGTGTCGTGGTTAGCACTAAAATGAACGCCTCATACACGGAAATTATCTTCGCCGGGTGCATCCTCATACTGCCCTTTTTGTACGAATCTAGTCATGTCTTCAGATACCACCTCAAGTTCGTCCTGTACTACGCGATCGTGATGCTCAACTCGGTGATCCTCATCCCCTTGTTCTGCTTCAGGGCGGGAAACGTGAGGAACTTGCTGTAAGTAGGAATGTTGTGGTTACGGAGGTGATGAAGGGTGACTTGTCGCTAGGACTGCGTCGGCTTGGTGCCACCACATCTCGACGCTGCTGGGGCTGCGCTGGATCCTGCGGGGGCGAGAACATCTGGAGAAGGACCAGGCGTGCATTATCGTGTCGAACCACCAGAGCTCCATTGATATTCTGGGTAAAGAGATCACTTGTTGTGGTTTTTGCAGTTTGCACTGGTTTGATGCTTGTTTGTTTTTGGAATCTGTTTGCACTGTGGTAAGGAGTTTTTATGTTTAATTTGAGACTGGAATGGCTTGACTCCTATCAGGGTTTAGGGCTTGCACCCCTCTTTGTGTTTATGACTGTTTTTAATCTTCGGGGTTGTGGTTTTCAATTTTAGGTGGTGTTTCTGTCATTTCTTGTCTATACTTCGCTACCACGTTTCTTGGTCTTCGTATTTCCAGAACGTTGACGAATTTGTATTAAAAGTAATAAAATATAACTTTGTCGACAATTTTTTGGCATTTAGCCATTAACTCGTTTTATGCATTCTTGACGTTTCACAATTTCTAGAATATGAAAATGCTGGTCTTCCGTTTTCGCATGTGTGTCATACTATATTGAAACTACTATACGGATTTTTGCCAAATTTAAAATTAAGGAATTTATAAATTTGAAAGAATCTTTGGGTTCCGACTTGGTCGAAGGTTATTTCGGCAGAATTTTCCTCGCCTGTGAAGTGTAGTCCAAAAAAAAACCCGTTCTTTGAAAAATTATATTAAAAAAATGCGAAAGTGGCGAAATGAACACTCCCGGGGTTTTTTTGACTTGAATTTTTAATTTTTTTGTTTCTTCGGTTTTTCGAATTTTCAAGTTTCAATTTTCAATCTTCCAGTGTTCGATTTTATAATTTTCTGTTTTTGCAATTTTTCGTTTCCCCAATAATTGTACGGCATACTCTTCGAGTTTTCATTTTGAAAATCCTCAATTTTTCGATTTTCTAAATTTTGGATTTTTCAGTTTTTCGTTTCGTTTTTTTTTTTTCTTTATTTTTGCAATTTTTATTTTTTTCTTCCTTCTAATTTTTCGGGTTTTCATTTTAAAAATGTTCAGTTTTTCGATTTTCCAAATTTTGGATTTTTCAATTTTTAGATTTTGCAATTTTTCCATTTGAGTTTCTCCACTTTTCAATTTTTCGTTTCGGTTTCATTTTCTTTATTCGTACAATTTTTCGATTTTTCAATGTTCCGATTTTATAATTTTTTTTGTTTTTTCAATTTTAATTTTTTCAGCTTCGTCTCATTTTTCGATTTGCGATTTTTCAATTTTTCATTATTTTTGTTTCTTCAATTTTTAAATTTTGCAATTTTTCGATTCAAACCTTCATGAGATTTTAATTTTTCGACCTTTCATGTTCCGATTTTGTAATTTTTTGTTTTTTCAATTTCAGTTTTTCAGTTTTTGGTCTATTTTTCGATTTTCGACTTTTCAATTTTTCATTATTTTTATCTCTTCAATTTTTAAATTTTGCTATTTTTCGATTTAAAATTTCACGAGTTTTTAATTTTTCAATTTTCCGGTTCTTTAATTTTTCAATTTTTCGATTTTTCAATCTTCCGATTTTATAATTTCTTGTTCTTTTCATTGTTAATTTTTTCAGTTTTCGGTCTTCTTCGTTTTCACATTTCTCAATTTTTCAGTGTTTAAATTTTGCAATTTTTCATTTATTTAATTTTTCATTGTTCCGATTTTATAATTTTTTTTTTTCAATTTTAATTTTTTCAGCTTCGTCTCATTTTTCGATTTTTCAACTTTTCATTGTTTTTGTCTCTTCAATTTTTAAATTTTGCAATTTTTCGATTCAAACCTTCATGAGATTTTAATTTTTCGATTCTTTATTTTTTCAATTTTTCGCCCTTTATTTTTCATTTATTCAATTTTTCGACTTTTCATGTTCCGATTTTGTAATTTTTTGTTTTTTCAATTTCAGTTTTCAGTTTTGTCTATTTTTCGATTTGCGACTTTTCAATTTTTCATTATTTTTGTCTCTTCAATTTTTAAATTTTGCAATTTTTCGATTTAAAATTTCACGAGTTTTTAATTTTTCAATTTTTCGATTTTTCAATCTTCTGATTTTATAATTTCTTGTTTTTTTCAATTTTAATTTTTTCAGTTTTTGGTCTCCTTCGTTTTGACATTTCTCAATTTTTCATTATTTTTTTTCCTCAGTGTTTAAATTTTGCAATTTTCGATTTAAAATTTCACGGTTTTTAATTTTTCAATTTTTCAATTCTTTAATTTTTTGTTTTTTCAATTTTTTATTTCTTCAATTTTACAGCATACTCTTCGAGTTTTCATTTTAAAAATTCTCAGTTTTTCGATTTTCCAAATTTTGGATTTTGCAATTTTTCCACTTGAGTTGCTAGAGTTTTCAATTTTTCATTTCGTTTTTTTCTTTATTTTTACAATTTTTCAATGTTCCGATTTTATGATTTTTTGTTTTTTTTTTTAATTTTAATTTTTTCAGATTTTCGTCTCATTTTTGTTTCTTCAATTTTTCAATCCTTCATTTTTCATTTATTCAATTTTTCGACCTTTCATGTTCCGATTTTGTAATTTTTTGTTTTTTCAATTTCAGTTTTCAGTTTTGTCTATTTTTCGATTTGCGATTTTTCAATTTTTCATTATTTTTGTTTCTTCAGTGTTTCAGTTTTTCGAGTTTTTAATTTTTCGATTCTTTAATTTTTCAATTTTCTGGTTCTTTAATTTTTCAATTTTTCGGTTCTTTAATTTTTCAATTTTTCGATTTTTCAATCTTCTGATTTTATAATTTCTTGTTTTTTTCAATTTTAATTTCTTCAGTTTTTGGTCTCCTTCATTTTGACATTTCTCAATTTTTCATTATTTTTTTTCCTCAGTGTTTAAATTTTGCAATTTTCGATTTAAAATTTCACGGTTTTTAATTTTTCAATTTTTCAATTCTTTAATTTTTTGTTTTTTCAATTTTTTATTTCTTCAATTTTACAGTATTTTCGAGTTTTCATTTTAAAAATTCTCAGTTTTTCGATTTTCCAAATTTTGGATTTTTCAAATTTTAGATTTTGCAATTTTTCCACTTGAGTTGCTAGAGTTTTCAATTTTTCATTTCGTTTTTTTCTTTATTTTTACAATTTTTCAATCTTCCGATTTTATAATTTCTTGTTTTTTTCAATTTTAATTTTTTCAGTTTTTGGTCTCCTTCGTTTTGACATTTCTCAATTTTTTATTATTTTTTTTCTTCAGTGTTTAAATTTTGCAATTTTCGATTTAAAATTTCACGGTTTTCAATTTTTCAATGTTTCAATTCTTAATTTTTTTGTTTTTTCAATTTATTATTTCTTCAATTTTACAGCATACTCTTCGAGTTTTCATTTTAAAAATTTTCAGTTTTTCGATTTTTCAAATTTTAGATTTGAGTTTCTCGAGTTTTAAATTTTTCGTTTCGTTTTTTTTCTTTGTTTTTACAATTTTTTTTCAATGTTCTGATTTTATAATTTCTTGTTTTTCAATTTTTTAATTTTTCAATTTTTCGATGCTTTAATTTTTCATTTACTTAATTTTTCATTGTTCCGATTTTATAATTTTTTTTTCAATTTTAATTTTTTCAGCTTCGTCTCATTTTTCGATTTGCGATTTTTCAATTTTTCATTCGTTTTGTCTCTTCAATTTTTAAATTTTGCAATTTTTCGATTCAAACCTTCATGAGATTTTAATTTTTCGATTCTTTATTTTTTCAATTTTTCGCCCTTTATTTTTCATTTATTCAGTTTTTCGACTTTTCATGTTCCGATTTTGTAATTTTTTGTTTTTTCAATTTCAGTTTTCAGTTTTGTCTATTTTTCGATTTGCGACTTTTCAATTTTTCATTATTTTTGTCTCTTCAATTTTTAAATTTTGCAATTTTTCGATTTAAAATTTCACGAGTTTTTAATTTTTCAATTTTTCGATTTTTCAATCTTCTGATTTTATAATTTCTTGTTTTTTTCAATTTTAATTTTTTCAGTTTTTGGTCTTCTTCGTTTTGACATTCCTCAATTTTTCATTATTTTTTTTTCCTTAGTGTTTAAATTTTGCAATTTTCGATTTAAAATTTCACGGTTTTTAATTTTTCAATTCTTTAATTTTTTGTTTTTTCAATTTTTTACTTCTTCAATTTTACAGCATACTCTTCGAGATTTCATTTTAAAAATTCTCAGTTTTTCGATTTTCCAAATTTTGGATTTATCAATTTTTAGATTTTGCAATTTTTCCATTTGAGTTGCTAGAGTTTTCAATTTTTCATTTCGTTTTTTTCTTTATTTTTACAATTTTTCAAGGTTCCGATTTTATGATTTTTTGTTTTTTTTTTAATTTTAATTTTTTCAGATTTTCGTCTCATTTTATTGTTTCTTCAGTTTTTAAATTTTACAATTTTTCGATTCAAACCTTCATAAGATTTTAATTTTTCGATTCTTTAATTTTTCAATTTTTCATTATTCCGATTTTGTGATTTTTTGTTTTTTCAATTTCAGTTTTTCAGTTTTTGGTCTATTTTTCGATTTGCGATTTTTCAATTTTTCATTATTTTTGTTTCTTCAGTGTTTAAATTTTGCAACTTTCACGAGTTTTTAATTTTTCGATTCTTTAATTTTTCATTTATTCAATTTTTCGATTTTTCATTGTTCCGATTTTGTAATTTTTTTTTTCAATTTAAGTTTTTCAGTTTTTGGTCTATTTTTCGATTTGCGATTTTTCGACTTAAAATTTCATGAGTAATTAATTTTTCAATTTTGCGATTCTTTAATTTTTCATTTATTCAATTCTTCAATGTTTCGATTTTATAATTTTTTGTTTCTTTAATTTTACGGGATACTCTTCCAGTTTTCATTTTAAAAATTCTCAGTTTTTCGATTTTTCAAATTCTGGATTTTTCAATTTTTAGATTTGAGTTTCTCGAGTTTTCAATTTTTCGTTTCGTTTTTTTTTTCTTTATTTTTACAATTTTTCAATGTACCGATTTTATGATTTTTTGTTTTTTCTTTAATTCTAATTTTTTCAGTTTTTCGTCTAATTTTTGTTTTTTCAATTTTTAAATTCTGCAATTTTTCGATTCAAAACTTCACGAGCTTTTAATTTTTTAATTCTTTAATTTTTCAATTTTTCGATCCTTTATTTTTCATTTATTCAATTTTTCGACCTTTCATGTTCCGATTTTGTAATTTTTTGTTTTCTCGTTTTCAGTTTATTCAGTTTTTGGTCTATTTTTCGATTTGCGATTTTTCAATTTTTCATTATTTTTGTTTTTTCAGTATTTCAATTTTTCGACTCTTTAATTTTTCATTTATTCAATTTTTCATTTTTTTCTTCCTTCTATTTTACGGCGTGCAATTTTTCGGGTTTCATTTTAAAAATTTTCAGTTTTTCGATTTTCCAAATCTTGGATTTTTCAATTTTTAGATTTTGCAATTTTTCCATTTGAGCTTCTCGACTTTTCAATTTTTCGTTTAGTTTTTATTTTCTTTATTTTTACAATTTTTGGAATTTTCAATGTTCCGATTTTATAATTTTTTGTTTTTTGAATTTTAATTTTTTCGGTTTCGTCTCATTTTTCGATTTGCGATTTTTCAATTTTTCATTGTTTTTGTCTCTTCAATTTTTAAATTTTGCAATTTTTCGATTTAAAATTTCACGAGTACTTAATTTTTCAATTTTTCGACTCTTTAATTTTTCATTTATTCAATTTTTCATTATTTTCGTTTCTTCAGTGTTTAAATTTTGCAATTTTTGGATTTAAAATTCCACGAGTTATTAATTTTTCAATTTTTCGATTCCTTAATTTTCCATTTATTCAATTTCAGTTTTTTCAGTTTTTGGTCTATTAAAATTTTGCCATTTAAAAATTGCAAATCAAAACCTTGTAAAATTGAAGAAACGAAAAATTGAAAAATCCAACGATTAAAAATTTTCAATTTTTTGATTTTGAAGTTTCGCAACAGAGAAAAAAAATTGGATAATTGAGGAATCTAAAAATTTCAGAATTGGATAACCCAGGAATTTTTCCATTTTTCAATTATTGGAACTTCTTCATTTATACGATTTTTCATTTTTCGATTTTTAATTTCTCAGTTTTCCGCTCTATCAATTACGTTTTTTGACGATTCCATCACTTTTCGTTTTTACCACTCTGGGGTTTTCCAATTTTTCGATTCGATTCGTTTTTTCTTGTTTCCAATTTTCCGGTTCATTAATTTTTTCGATTTTCAGTTTTTCAATTGTTTCAATCTTTCGTTTCATCAGTGCAAAAATTTTGCAAAAATGGAAAAAGTATAAAATAACAAATAAAAAATTCGAAATCAACCACTTGAAAAATTTAAGAAACGGAAAAATAGAAAATCGAAACATTCAAAAATGAAAAAACGAAAAATTGTGATTTCGGGAAAATGGAGTGAGTCCTTCTTGATTTTAATTAGTACAACAAATTGCCTCATTTATTATTTTTTGGAGTCACCCTGTATAAGTAATTCTAAAATCTGTTAGTGCATTGATAAACCATAATGATAGAGTCATAATATTTTGCATATTTCAGAGATTTATTCGGCAAAATTTTGAGATTACGTCATCAATTTTTTAGAAAGGGATAAACGAATCAATTTTCATTAATGATTTACCATGATTACGATAACCTTAAAACGTTTGCAATATTTCAGACCAGTCGTTTTTTTATATTTTTTTTCTAGAGTAAAACTGTAATAATATTTACTAATGCAAATTTCGGAGGTAATGTCATCATGGTAAAGATGTTTATCCTAATACACATAAAATTTGACAACAGTCCATTCAGTACGGAAACGGGAGACCTATTTATTCGTATTCTAGGGGTCATGAAATGTCGAGCTCGGGAAGTAAAACTAACATACAATTTTGTTTACAATGTTTACGCATTTTGTATTTTATGAGCGACGTACTCCAAGGCTTATTTTTATGGTGTCTCGACGTGACACGGTTTCTAGAATATGAAAATGCCGGTCCCCCATTTTCGTCTGTCGGAAAGAATTTAGCACGTGCTTTGAGTTTATCACTAATTTGCTCAGTGAATACTATAAAATATCCGATGTTTTGATTGCAGGGATGTTCGACGTGTGGCCGGTCATGGATAAATGCACGGTGGTGGCGAAAAAGGAGCTGTTTTATGCGTGGCCTTTCGGACTGGCGGCATGGCTATGCGGGCTCATTTTCATTCCAAGAATGAATAGTGATAAAGCGAAATCGCTGATGAATGAGGCAGCGGAGAGTATTAAGAAGGATAGGGTGAGTGTTTTTTGTCAAACTTCAAACTGAGTAGAGTGTAAGTGAATCATGAAGTGTTAAGTACGGTTAATTACAGTACTTGAACATTGCGATAAACAGATTAGCATTATTAACGTCCACACATTTTTTCCTAATTTTATCAGGAAGACTACCATTTTGAAAAACTGATCATAGTTATTGTAATATTAGCCATTTGAATACATATATACATACTTAAGTAACATTTAAAATAACTTTATCAAAAATTATTTTAATGAAGTTTTAAACGATAGCGTTATCTGTAATAACAAACGTAGCGACAATTATTTAACTTTTAACCCTTGAAAAAGTACAATAGATACTAGAATTTTATCAACTAATAATGGTTTTTCACGTAGATTAAGACCAAACTTGAATGTAGATCTGATCGATACCTCTTATCGACACTAAATTTTAACCTAGTTTTTACTAGCGACCCGAAATATTTCTGCCAGTAATCCATTTACGTAGTTAAAGTTAAAATTGTCACACGTGTTTAAATTCAGAAGTTTTTGGCCGCGCTCTGCGCCAAAAGTAATTATAGAGTTTATTATTCAAAGTATATAAAGGAACGAAATGTGTACATATTTAATAGCAGAGCCATAATTGTTGGACAAACACTTAACTACCCAAAAATAGCAAAGCATTTTATCGCGTACATACAAGTGTAAGTTTTATTTGTAAATGCTGTTGCCACATAATCAAGGTGACGCCATAATTTGTTTGAGATTGTCATAGAGACCTTCTACAAATTGGATTACTTGTATTTATCGACTAAGTTTTGTTTCTAAGTGGAGAATGAATGTTAGGAAATATGTTTCTGATAGGTAAATGACTACTTCTGAACTTCCATGTGCTTAATTCTTATCCGTGATAAGAGTGTTTATCGATGCGCCCATTTCCGATACGTGGGTACTTAAATTTTACTAATTTTTATATCTGAAAGATAAGGAGTGGATAGGGGCAGTCATGAATAATCCGTTTACTGAACAGATGGAGTGATCTCTCGATCAATAATATTAGGTTTTGAAAGATCACGTGAAGAATATGCACCTTACAACTCCATCTGTTCGGTGAACGGAGTATAATAGAATTTCAAGAAAATGAAATACATTAAACTGCTTTATTTATCAATTTTTTGGAGACATTCTCATCTGTAAACTACAGTATAACCTCTATAATCCGAACTCACGATTCATAACATCCAGTAATCCGAACAGAGACTAGTTGAAGTCGATATATCTTTAATCTGAACAAAAATTCTGAGAGTGGGTCATGTGCCAAAATCAGTGTTATTTTAATAATCTTAAATCAAAAATTTTAAATATTAAAATTTTACTGTTTTAAAATTTTCAGCTACTTATGTCATAGATACTTCTAGAGTTTCGATTTTAAAATTTCTCTATCGGTTTCAGTAAAACGAAATAAAATTATATAAATTGACGTGTTTTTCTTGTGAAAAGTAGTAGAAAGTCAAAATTAACTTCAAGGCTTTGACTTTTTAAATCGGAAGGTTTGCAACATTGTTTTAAAATTTTGACTTTTAAAATTTCGAAGATATATTTTTAGATATTTAAGAAAAAACCGTCAAATACGAAGCCCTAATATTTTAAACAATGAAACTTTGACATAAATCGCAAATCCTTATTAGTTTTAAAATTTTACTGTTCTTTACATTAAAAGGAAGCGATTTTGCCAACAATTAAAACTCACACTTCTTTCTAAAACAAACGTAAAAGCTTTAAAATGAACTGCAAAACTTTGACTTTTCAGGTACTAAACTTTGGAAACATCTGATAGTTTTAACCTTCGAGATCTCAAATATCGATTTTTGGATTTCTAGCCTAAATTATTTCGATTTTCTACTTTTTAAGTAGTAAAGTCTGGAAATTACTAAGATATTGTTTTAACTTTCGAGATCTCAAATGTCGTTTTCGGAGTTGAAGCTTTAAATCTCAAAACTTCCATATAATGGTATCAGATTCTTGGTGATAAAACATAATTATACCTTATACCACGAATATCTAGAACTGACAGTTTTTGACAAATAAAATCGGAGATTCAGAATTTTCAAATTCGATTTTTGGACATTTTTTTAAATATCAAAACTTTACTATTTTAAAATTTTCAAGTGTGATGTACTTCTTACATTTTCAGTAAAACGAAATAAAATTAAAAACAAAATTGACGCTTTTTTCTTGTGACAACTAGTCAAAATGTCAAAATTAGGTTCGAGGCTTTGACTTTTTAAATCGTGAGGCTTGCGGTATAATTTTAATTAAAGTTTAACTATTGAAATTCCGAAGATCTATTTTTAGACGTTTAAGATATAATTGCCAAAGCGTAAGCTCTAAATTTTGAAATAATAAAAATATGACATAAATCGTGAGGTCCTCATTTTAAAATTTTACCGTTGTTTACATTAAAACGAAGCAGTTTTGCCAAAAATTGGAACTCTTTTTCAAACAAAAGTAGAAGCTTTGAAATGAATTACAAAGCTTTGACTTTTTAAATAGTAAAGTTTGGAAATTAGTCCGACAGTTTTAACTTTCGAGATCGCAAGTATCTCAAGTATCGGTTTTTGAATTTCTAGACTAATAGGAATATTTCAAATTTCGGAGTTGAACTTCGAAAATCTCAAAACTTCGATATTATCGTATCAGAATTTTGACTTTAAAACTACGATGAAACCGACTTATACCACGAAGATCTTGAATTTACAGTTTTTGCTGAAATTAAAACGGAGCTTCAGAATTTTCAGATTCAATTTTTGAAGGTCGAAGAAACAGTTTTTAAAATATTGAAGCTTTACCTACTACTTTAAAATTTCCAACTATAATACATATATTTATGAAGTACAGTATAACCTCTATAGTTGAAGTCGGGATCTCTTTAATCCGAACAAAAACTCTGCAATCCGAACTGAACTTGAAAACATGCACCTACTTGCAAAAATGACGCAAAATCTTCTTTCTGTACGTTTTGTTATTGAATTTTTTAAATTTTTTAAAAATTGTGATATTTCATGCACTGAATTAATTAACTAATTCTGGAAAAAGGGTTGAAGTTATCGAAGAAATGAGGCTGGAAGTGACTTCTGCGCCCCGAAATCTACAAGAAAAAGTGTTTAATTAAGTTTTTAAAATTGTCGAAAATGGGTCGAAATTCGCTAGTACTTGCCAAATAATCTATCCTCTAAGAAAATAAAAATAAGACTCATTTTGGCAAATGTCCTACTCTTCTAAGAAAAGGTACTTGCCCTGCCCACCCACCCTTTATTTTCTTAGAAGAGTGGGTCATCTGCCAAAATTAGTCTTATTTCAACAAGTACTAGCCCCGCCCACCCACCCTTATTTTTTTAAAGGATATATCATCTGCCAAAATCAGTCTCATACTTGCCAAGATAAGACTGATTTTGGCAGATGACCTATTCTTTATTTTCTTATAACAATAGTTGGCTAAAATGAGTCCTATTTTGGTAAATACTAGCCCCACCCACCCGCCCTTTGTTTTCTTAGAGAGTAGATCATTTGCCAAAATCAGTCTTATCGTAGCGAGTACTACTAGATCAGTTTTTCGATTTTTCAACTTTCGAATTTTTCAATTTCTCGCTTTTTAAATTTTCAATTTTTTGATCTATCTTTCGATTTTTGATTTCTCTGGGAAACCGAAAAAAAATTTCGGTTTTTTAATTCTACCATTTTGGCAGTTTTCCTATTTCTCAATTATTTGATTTTTAAAAATACAGACAAAATAGATGTTTATTTTTTTTAATTTTTGATTTTTGATTTTTTGTCACCGGGTTTTTGGAAGGGAGTAAAAAGCAGTTTTGATCAGCAATCTGCCATGTTTACCGGAACTTTAAAACATCTGAAAATTTTTGTTCTAATTTTCAATTTTTGGATTTTCCGGTTTTTCAAAATTTCGGTTCGAATAAATTTGCTCTTTTACTTAAAAAATCGAAAAATGACAAATCGTGAAAAGGAAAAATTTTAACTGAGAACTTGAAAAATTAAAAATCAAAAAATTCCAAAATTGTAAAGTTAAAACTTGAAAAATCAAAAGATTGGAATTAAAAACTGCAAAATTGTCAAACAAATTATCAAATGAAATATTTAAAAGTTGAAAAATCTAGAAACTAGAAAATGAAAACTGGCATTTCGAATTCGATTTTATAAGATTTGGTTTTTTTTTCAATTTTTCGATATTTCAGTTTTTGATTTTCCGATTATACAGTTGCACAATTTTTCAATGTTCTGGTTTTATAATTGTTTGTTTTTTCAATTTTTTTGATTTGCAATTTTCGAGTTTTCAATTAAAATTTTTCAGTTTGTCAATTTTTCGAGTTTTTAATTTTTCGAATTTTCAATTTTTCGAGTTTTAATTTATCATTTCTTAAAATTTTTGAGATGCAGTTTTTCGATTCGGTTTTTATTTTCTTTATTTTTTTTAATTATTTCATTTATCAATGTTTCGATTTGCGATTTTTCAATTTTTCATTTATTGGTTTCTTCAATTTCTTAAAATTTGCAATTTTTCGATTTTTGAATTTTTCTCTTCTGGGTTTTTTTATATCTTGCAATTTTTAAATTAAGATTTCTAGAGTTTTTAATTTTTTCTTTTTCAATTTTTCGATTCTTTAATTTTTCCAAATTTTCGATTTGCAGTGTAGGTTTTTTATTTTTTTTATTTTTACAATTTTTCGATTTTTTAATGGTCCGGTTTTATATTTTTTTGTTTTTTCAATTAAATTTTTTTCAATTTTTCGAATTTTCAAATGTAAAATTGTCAGCTTGTCAATTTTCCAACTTTTGATTTTTTCAATTTTTAATTTTTCATTTCTTCAAATTTTCGATTTGCACTTTTTTATTTCGGTTTTTTATTTTCATTATTTTTACAATTTTTCCATTTTTAAATGTTCTAGTTTTAACTTTTTTTTTCTTTTTTCAATTTCGGTTTTTTCAATTTTTCGTTTCCTCAATTTTCTCGATTTGTGGTTTTTCAATTTTTTTGAATTGCAATTTTCCTAGTTTTCAATTAAAATTTTTCAGTTTGTCAATTTTCCAACATTCGAGTTTTTCAATTTTTAGATTTTGCAATTTTTCGACTTTTAATTTTTCATTTCTTCAAATTTTTTTATTTTCTTAGAAGAATGGGTCATCTGCCAAAATTAGTCTTATTTTAACAAGTACCAGCCCCGCCCACTTACCCTTATTTTTTTAGAGAATATGTCATCTGCCAGAATCGGTCTCATACTTGCCAAGATAAGACTGATTTTGGCAGATGACTTATTCTTTATTTTCTTAGAGAGTAGATCATTTTTTCAACTTTCATCAAATTTTTTACGTTTTTTCGAACACCTTTGGAAATTACCTGTAGACATTTTTTCGTAATTTCTACATCCAGTTACTTTCGGATTCAATTCTTCGAAAATTCACACTATTTTTCAAACTCGTCAAGATAAAATTAGTATTTAAAAAAAATTGACCTTTAAACCATATATTTCCCAAATCCAGCTCTTTTTTGTGGTTTTTTAGCAATTTTTCCAAAAGTTAAGTTTTTCAATAGCTGATTTGAGATTTTTTTGGACCCTTCGACTTCCAGAAATTTTTTTCGGCTTCATTTTTTAGAAAACTCGTATCATTTTTCCAAAATTGTCCATATGAAATATGGTAATTTTTAGGATGAAAAAGAAAATTGATTTTCAAACACGCTTTGTTTTTCAAACTAGCTCAATACCTTAATTTTTTTTGATCGATTTTTACACATTTTCAAAAAATCCAATGTTTTCAGCTTTGAGGTTTTTCGATCACCTTCGAAAATATAAAGAGATTTTTATAGATTTCAAAGTGATTTTCGGCTTCATTTTTTCGAAAATTCCTGCAATTTATTCAAAATCGGCCATATTAAATGTCAGTTTTTCATGATTCTTACAAAATTTGATTTTCAAATTGATTATTTCGAAAATCTTGTCCCAGGACCATAAACGTGCTATGCTTTTCAAAAAAGCTCGAAATCTATGTAAAGGTATTCCAAAATTTTTTGCCGATTTTTAGACATTTTCAAAAAACCCAATTTTTTCATCTAAAGAGATTTTTTTGTAAAATTCGACCTGTTATTTTCGGTTTCATTTATTGGAAAATTTCTGCCGTTTTTCAAAAATCATCAATATGAAATATAGCAAGTTCTTAGATTATTAAAAATTTTGAGTTTCAATCCGAATATGTATTTTTATGTGGATTTTTAGGCTGCATTTTTGAAAAGCAAAATTTTTTAACTTTTCCTTCTGAATCTTTAACCTTTTTTCGAGGATTTTCAAAAATTATCCAAAACGATTTTTTGTAGATTTTAGTGTCCAGAAGTTATTTTCAGCCTCATTTCTTCGAAAATTCAGTATATTTTTCCAAAATCGTTTCGCTTTTTTGAAAAAAATGACTTTTACACCCAATATTTTGAAAACTTAATCAACACGTTATGTTTTTCCAATCAGCTTGAAATCTTATTCCCAAATTTTTTTGTGAATTTTTCAAAAAGCTCAATTTTTCAATTTTTATGAAATCTTTTTCGAATACTTTCGAATACTTTTGCCAAGATTTTTTTGAAGGTTTCGACCTTTGGAAGTTATTTTCGGCTTCATTTTATTGAAATTGTTGCAATTCAATTTTTGACATTTTCTCAAACACCTTTGAAAATTATTTAACGAGATTTTCTTGGAAATTTCGACCTCCAGAAGTTATTTTACGCGTTAATTCTTCCAAAATTCCCATTTTTCCAAAATCGTCACTATGAAATACAGATACATTCGAAAAAAAATTATATTTTTGGAATCAACACGTCGGGCTCTATATCCCTGAATTTAATCAGAATTTTTAAATGACTTTTTCAAAAATGAAATTTCCCATATGGAAATTTCGACCCAGTCTCGACATGTAAATTTTAGGCCACAGAAGTCACTTCTGGCTTCATTTCTTCCATAACTTAAACCGTTTTTCCAGAATCGTCCATTGAAATATCGCAATTTTTAAAAATTTCAAAAATTTCGAATTTCATACCGAATTTTCCGAAAATATTGCTCCGTTACCATAAACATGCTATATTTTTGGAATCAGCACGGCGGGATATATACATACATCTCCGATTTTTTTCAGAATTTTTAGACAACTTTTTCAAAAATGAAATTTTACAATATGGTAGTACTTGCCAAATAACCTACCCTCAAAGAAAATAAAAGGCTCATTATGACAAATGACCTACTCTTCTAAGAAAAGCTACTAGTACCGCCCACCCACCTATTATTTTAGAAGAGTAGGTCATCTGCCAAAATCAATCTTATCTTGGCAAGTATGAGACTGATTTTTGCAAATGACAGATCCTCTAAGAAAATAAGGGAGGGTGTGCGGGGCTAGTACTTGTCAAGATAAGACTGATTTTGGCAGATGACCCACTCTTCTAAGAAAATAAGGGTGGGTGGGCGGGGCTAGTACTTGTCAAGATAAGACTGATTTTGGCAAACGACATGATTTTTCAATTTGTCATTTTTTTATTTTCTTAGAAGAGTGGGTCATCTGCCAAAATCCGTCTTATCTTGACAAGTACTAGCCCCGCCCACCCACCCTTTATTTTCTTAGAAGAGTGGGTCATCTGCCAAAATCAGTCTTATCTTGACAAGTACTAACCCCGCCCACCAACCCTTATTTTTTTAGAGGATATATCATTTGCAAAAGTCAGTCTCATACCTGGCAAGCTAAGACTGATTTTGACAGATGACCTATTCTTTATTTTCTTAGAAGAGTAGGTCATTGGCCAAAATGAGTCTTATTTTGGCAAATACTAGCCCCACCCACCCGCCCTTTGTTTTCTTAGAGAGTAGATCATTTGCCAAAATCAGTCTTATCGTAGCGAGGACTACTAGATCAGTTTTTCGATTTCTCAACTTTGGAATTTTTCAGTTTCTCGCTTTTTAAATTTTCAATTTTTTGATCTAACGTTCGATTTTTGATTTCTCTGGGCAACTGAAAAAATCTTTCGGTTTTTAATTTTACAATTTTGGCACTTTTCCTATTTCTCAATTATTTGATTTTTAAAAATATCGAGAAAATAGATATTTATTTTTTTAAATTTTCGATTTTTGATTTTTTGTCACCGGGTTTTTGGAAGGGAGTAAAAAACAATTTTGATCAGCAATCTGCATGTTTACCGTAACTTCAAAACATCGGAAAATTTTGGTTCTAATTTTCAATTTTGGATTTTTCGGTTTTTCAAAATTTCGGTTCGAATAAATTTGTTCTTTTAGTTAAAAAATCGAAAAATGGCAAATCGTGAAAAGGAAAAATTTTAACTTGAGAACTTGAAAAATTAAAAATCAAAAAATTCCAAAATTGTACAGTTAAAATTTGAAAAATCAAAAGATTGGAATTAAAAACTGCAAAATTGTCAAACAAATTATCAAATGAAATATTTAAAAGTTGAAAAATCTAGAAGCTAGAAAATGAAAACTGGGATTTTGACAATTTTCCGATTTTTCAATTTGTCATTTTTTTATTTTTAGCAAGTACTGCCCCACCCACCCAGCCTTTATTTTCTGGGAAAAATAAGTCATCTGCCAAAATCAGTCTTATCTTGGCAAGTACTAGCCTCCCGCCCACCCTCCCGTATTTTCTTAGAGGATATGTCATCTGCCAAAATCAGTCTCATACTTGCCAAGATAAGATTGATTTTCGCAGATGACCTACTTCTAAGAAAACAAAGGGTGGGTGGGCGGGGCTAGTACCTTTTCCTAGAAAAGTAGGTAATTTGTCAAAATGAGTCTTATTTTGGCAAATACTAGCCTGGCCCATTCGCCTTTTATTTTCTTAGAGGGTAGATTATTTGGCGAGTACTACTATAGTGTAAAATTTCATTTTTGAAAAAGTTGTCTAAAAATTCTGAAAAAATTCAGAGATATATATCCCGACGTGCTGATTCCAAAAATATAGCATGTGTATGGTAACGCAGCAATATTTTCGGAAAATTCTGTATGAAGTTCGAATTTTTTGAAACTTTTAAAAATTGCGATATTTCAATGGACGATTCTGGAAAAAGAATACATAATAGGAAATTTAATTTTTGAAAAAGTCATCTAAAGGGGACCCGGGGTGGGCTAGTTAGCATCATGCTTGCCCGCTACACCTTGGGTCGTGGGTTCGATTCCCGCCATGGCTCTGGGTGTAACGTGTATGTCCCGTTCCCCTGTAATTGGGCCTCAGTGCCTGTTGGGGGACGTAATTAATAAAAAAAAATAAAAAATAAAAAAAAATAAGTCTATGAAGAAACTACATTTGGATAACCAGAACATTTTACACTCACGAAGAATAAAAGTAAAGAGTGGAAACAATGTAGAATGTTTGTTGATTAAATTGAGTTAATCTTCGGCACATGAAAGCGATAAATATTATCACTTCGTTATCATTTGCTTATAATAAAAATGTTACTATCAGAAGACAATAAATTAATTCATTCTCCAGTAATACTCGAAGCATAAAATATGTTTACAATTTCGCCTCACTAATATTGAATTTATTGCATAAGAGTTAATGTACCATAATGATACTAACGATTTATTAATAATAATCTAGTTCCTTGCTTATTTAAATTCTATTTATAAATATCGATCTCCGCTAGATGCCTTGTTCTCGCTTATCAGTCGAACAAAGCAAGCACGCCACTATTTCTGGAACCCAGTATCAGAAAAATCTTAATTGGGTGACTTTATTTAAGCCAGAATTTACTTCCAGATCAAATTATGGGTGTTTCCCGAGGGAACGCGCCGCAACACCGGCCAAATCCACCCGTTCAAAAAAGGCGCCTTCCATCTCGCCATCACGGCGAAATTGCCCATCTTGCCGGTGATTTACAGCCAGTATTATTTCCTAGATAAGGAAAACAAAAGGTTCGACCATGGTAAGTTCCCTGGGGTCGCTTTAACCAAAACTCACTCCGTTCTCCGACAGGTAAAGTCTACATTACAGTCCTCCCGCCCATCCCCACCGACAACCTCACCACCGAACACATGGACGAGCTCATCGAGCGAACCAGAACCATGATGACGTCGACGTTCCACGAAACCAATAAAGAAATAAAAGACTCGATGGCGAGAACCTTTCCTAGTCAATAAGAGGTATTTTTCGTACCAAAAAATCCCGTTTACTTGTTTATCGAAATAAGCAGATTTGTTACGTTTTTAAATTAAACAACGTACTTAAAAATCGGAAAATAAGACGCAGCGGAAGCTAGTGGGTTTTTAGTTAAGACGTTGCCATATCACCACTGGGCGATTTTAAGGCTGTGAGATGTAGGGTTCTTGCCATTTCGCAATAATTTTGTTAGGGAATGGACATTCCAAGCTCCGAAATTTTAAAAACAAGGAGTGTGATTGGAATCGCGTGATTTTATTACAGTTATAGTTGCGCAAAGAGTAATTGTTTATAATGTCGAGGTCGATGGGTTTTTATTATTTAGATTTTTCTTGAAGCTTGAAAGAAATATAAGTCGGTGTTTAAATAGGTTACTGATGTCAACGATTTCACTATAAATTAATTTCAATATAAGACTGAATAACAGGGACATAAATGTTTAATTAGGTGTAATTAATTTTAATTTCGAACGATTGACGTCGTTGACACACTTGGCCAAATTTACCATATGTGTGGACGCAGTGGCGGAGGCCAAAATTTTACAAAATTAAAACCTGAACGCAACTATTTTGTTTTTATAATGTGGCTTATCCTTCAAATACGATTTGGGCTCAATTTAAAATTTACGAAGCGGCCGAGTTCTTGTTAGCATTCTAATCGCGACAAGGTAAACGAATTCCACAATTTTGAATTAAAATTTCGGAGCATAAAGGGTCACGTAAACCGATAGTTTTAATATTTAATGTGCAAGTTGTTGTAAACACACGTGTTTTTATCACGGTGATCAACTAAGCAAATAAATTGTAGTTTTAAGGATTTAATTAAGAGTAGGAGAGGAGTCACTGTATTATTTGCCGATTTTATGAATCATGGTACTTAATTTATTTGACTTTTTTCTTATTTATGACCACTTTGTAAACGAATTTTTTATTTATAAGATAAGTAATATGTATTGATTAGTTCCACTTTTTCTCGATCATTCTCTGTGAGATAAGTACAAGAACATTCACGTAAACGTTACCTATTTACATTCTTCAATAAAAAATACACTCTAGGTTGTCACTTTTAAACCTGAATTCGTGAGAGCGGAGTTAAGCAAAAAAAGGTAAGTACAAATAATTTTGAAATTCTACTTCAGCATTAAATTATTATTATTACGTTACACTAATGTAAATATTAAAAAAAAAATGGCTTACTGCATCATCCTGTAGAAAACCATAAATCTAATACAATAGAGGTACACTTGTAAAAAATTATTAGTTAAAAATTAAGACAAAACTGAAGATTTGTTTTGGCTCTCAGACCAAGCCTTGGCAATGGTTCTCTTCATCTCATCATCACCTTTCTCATACCTGAAAAACAACGTAATTTTCACAAACACAAAAATCACCCAGCCTTACATATTCTTCATTATAGACATCAACCCCTCACTAGGATCCATGTTATCATCAGCTTTAAATTTGGCGTTTTGTGCATCACTGGCCTTCTTTTCAAGTTCTGTAACATGAGACCACTTGTCAGGTTTGACTTTAGCGGCGTTGATCACCACCATATCTACAAACACTGAATTGAGCACAACTCTTTTCATTCTCGAGCATGACTACAAACCCGTTTTGACCTTCCAGGTGCTCCCTTCAGGATTGATCTTACACAAGAGATTATTAATAACGAAAACGTAGTCTTTGTTGTCTAAATCCTTCACGCTCAATTCCAGCGATTTGTTCGTGAATTGACAAACCAAATTTCCTTCAGGGATTGTGTGAACTTTGGGCAGCGTGACGTAAAATTTCACGAACTTCGATGTTTGATCCCAAGCTGCACAAATTAGGTTAGGTTTTAGATTTAACAACAAGGACACCTACCGTAAGTGTTTAATTTAACTTGGTAGCGTTTTAAAATTGGTGTTGTTGATGTTGCGTTTGCGGCGGTGTTCAACTGATCCTGTAATTTAGCGATTTCGGTTGACAATTTGCGCGTTTCTAGCGACAAAATGTCTTTGACTTTGGGTCTGGTTGCTTGTGCGAGCAACGACTGAAGTTCCGCTAGGTCGCTTTTCAACTACAAATTACAACAAAATAACGATTTTAACACTCGTTTTGGACTTACTTCGTCTATTTTTGCGGTCATTTTGCTGAAAAGCGTCGATGTTGTTGGGAAAACGGAGTGAGGTTAGAACGACACAACACAAAGTCTGGAAAGTTCTGTCAGTTCTGTCATTTGCATTGCCATAGATTAATATGGATGCGACATACAGGCTGATTTTGCAAAAACACCCTTATTGACATTGGACTCTTCAACCGCCAAATTTAAATAGTCGAATAGTGTTGACTGACAATTTTTGTGGTTGTTTTCGATACACTGCATGATACTAACAATGAGAAAAAAAAATTAAAATTAAAATAATCGAAAATTCGAAAACTCGAGAAATCTAATAATCGAAAAATCGAAACCTTAAAAAATCGTAAAACTGAAACATTGAAAAATCGAAATATCGAAAAATTGGAAAATCTTTTTCATTTTGTATTTTTCGTTTATTTTTGATTTTTCAATTTTACAATTTCTCAACTTCCAAAATTTTCAATTTTTCAATATTACAATTTTTCATTTTTCAATTTTTCAGTTTCTCGTTTTTTAATTTTTCCCTTTTCCAATTTTTTTGTTTCCGATTTTTATTTTTCATTTTCCCGATTTTTCAATTTTCACTTTTTCGATTTTATATGACAATTTTTCGGTTTTTCATTTCCTTTATTTTTCGTTGTTTCTTTCGATTTTCCAATTTTTCGTTTATTCCATTTTTCAATTTTCAGGCCAATCGATTCCAATTCGTCGATTTTCCGGTTTTTAAATTTTTCAGTTAGCAGTTTTTGGGTTTCCACCCCTTTTTTACTTTTTGGATTTTCAATTTTTCGTTAAACTTTAGATTTTTCAAATTTTCGACAGTTTTATACTTCGATTTCTCAATTTTTTTTCAACTTTTTGATGTTTTAATTTTTCTTTTTTAAAATTTTTTGATGTTTTGATTGTTCAGTTTCTCTATTTCTCCATGTTTCGATTTTTGGATTTCTCGGTTTATCGATTTTCCCATTTTTTGATGTTTCGATTTTTCTGTTATCCGATTTTTCAATTTTTTTAAATTCTGGAGTTTCGATTTCTCGATTTTTCAGTTTTTCGATTTTTAAGTTTTAGATTTTCGAATTTTTCTTTTTTGATTCTTTGATGTTTGAATTTCTCCATTTCTCAATTTTGCGATATTTCAATTGTTCAATGTTTTAAATTTTAGATTTTTTGATTCTCCAATTCTTCAGTATTTCTGTTTTCCAATTTTTCAATTAATATATATTTTTTTATTTTCCCGTTTCTTGAATTCGCAGTTTCGATTTTTCGGTTCTTCAATTCTTCGATTTTTGAATTTTTCGGTTGGCTAATTTTTTAATTTCTCAATTTTGGATATTTGTTTCAGTTTTGGGATTTTTCAATATATCTATTTTTCGACTTTTCGATTTTTAATTTTTTGGATTTTCAGTTTTTCGTTTTTTAAACTTTAGATTTTTCAATTTTCGACTGTTTTATATATATTTCGATTTCTGAATTTTTCGAGTTTTCAGTTCTTGTATATTTTAGTTCCTTTTTCCGAATTTTTTATTTTTCGATTTTTCAATTTTTTGAGACCTCGATTTATTCGGATGTTTCGATGTTTTGATTGTCTCAGTTTTTGAATTTTTCCGTGTTTCGATTTTTCGATTTATCGGTTTTATCGAAATCGAAAAATCAAAAGATCAAGAAATCGTGGAGTCGAAAAGTCGAACAATTGAGAAACCGAAATAGGCCAAAATCGAAAAATCGGAAAGTTATAAATTGAACAATTTATAAATTGAGAAATTGACAATCAAAATATCGAAAAATCCAAATCTCGATAAATCGTGAAATCAAAAAACTTAAAAATTCGAAAAATTGAAAAAATGAGAGATTGAAAGATCAAGAGAACAAGAAATCGAAAAGTGATGAAGTCGAAAAATCGAAAAATAGAGAAATCGACAAATAGTTAAAAGTTGAAAAATTGCAAAAGCGGAAAAATCCAAAAACGAAAAAATGGAAAAACTGAGAAACCGAAATAGGCCAAAATAAAAAATTGAAAAACTGATAAATCGAAAACCTGATAAATCGAAAACCTGAACAATCAAATCTCGATAAATCGAAAAATGAAAAATTAACAAATCGAAAAATTGAAAAACAGAACATCTAAAACCAGGAAATCGAAAAATCGAAAGATTAAGAAATATTGAAAAATTAAAATTTCAAAAGATTGAAAAATCTAAAATTTAAAAATCCAAAAATTGAAAAATCGAAAAAGTAAAAAGGTAGACACATCGAAAAATCCAGAGGTCAAAAATAGAAGAGCCGACGAATTGAAATATTGAAAAATCCTAAAACTGAAATATCTAAAAACTGAAAAATTGAAAAATCAAAAAAGTGAAGTCGAAAAATAGAAACCTTAAAAAATCGAAAAATTGAAAAATCAAAAACCTGAAAAATCAAAATCAAAAAATTAAAGAACTGAAGAACAGGAAAATCGAAACACTCGATGGTCAAGAAATGGGAAAATCAAAACGTCGATTGATTGAAAAATCGAAAAATTGAGAGTTTATGAAAGTCAAATTTGAAAAATTAAAAAATGAAAAATTTGACAAAATGACAATTGAAAAACAAAATCCAAAACTGGGATTTTATGTTTTTCAAGTTTTCAATTTTTCAGTTCCGGAACATTTCCATTTTGGAAAATTTTCGATTTCAGGATTTGTCATTTTCCATTTTTTAATGTTTCCATTCTCACTCTTTAAAATTCTTGATTTTTGGTTTTAGTTTTTCTATTTTTAAAATAGATTTACCGATTTCGATGTTTCAGTTTTTGAATTTTTGGAAGTTTCGATTTTTCATTTTTTCGGTTTTTTGACTTTTCGATTCGATTGAAAAATAGAAATTAAAAAATTAAAAAATGGAAAAATCGAGAACGCCAAAAATTTAAATATCTAAAATTATAACCGAAAATTTGAAAAATCGAAAACGTCAATACTGAAAAATTGGAGAATCGAAATTCAGAAAACTCTCAAAACGAATAAGGAAAAATTGAAAAATCGAGAGATTGAACTCGAAAAATCGAAAATTGAATAATCCAAAAATTGAAGAAATGAAAATTGAAAAGTCGGGAAATCGAGAAATGGGAAAAACAAAAAATTGATTAATCGACAAAATGAGAAATCGAAACATTGAAAATTTAGAAACGTTAAGATTTGAAAAATCGAAAAATTGAGTAATTGAAAAACTGAAAATCCAGAAATCGAAAAGTTCAAAAGCCGAAAAATAAAAAACATTACAAACCAAAAAAGGCGAAAATCAAAAATTAAGTAGTTAAAAAGTGAAAAATTAAGAAACTTAAAATCAATAAATCGAAAAATAGGAAAACGCGAAAAATTTAATAATCCAAAATTTAAGAACTGAAAATTTGAAAAATCGAAAAAGTCAAAATTGAGAAATCAAAAATTGAAGACTCGAGAGTGAAAAATCCCAAAACTGAAATATCGAAAAATTGCAAAATCGGACAAAAATTGAAGAATCGAAAAACTGTAAATCGAGAAATCGAAAATTCAAAAATTGACAAATCGTAAAGCCAAAATCGAAAAACAGAAAAGTTAAAAACTGAAAAGTTTTAAATTTTAAAACCGAAAAACTAAAAATTCCCAAAATAAAAAAATTTAAAATTGAAAAATTAAAGTATCGAAAATTTGAGAATCGAGAAATCAAACATCAAAAATCTAAAAATTGAAAAATATAGAATTTAAAACTCCAAAGATTAAATATTACAGAAATCGAAAAATCCAAAAATTGAAGAATCGAAATACTTGAAAAATCCAAAAATTGAAATATCGGACAATTGAAAAATGGGAGAAAAATTGAAGAAACGAAAAATTGAAAAATTTCAAAAGTGAAAAATCTAGAGATCGAAAAGTTAAAAAATGGAAGTAGAAAATTCGAAAAACTAAAGAAATGAAAAACTGAAAAATCGAAATATTGAAAAGTCGAGAAATCGAGAAATGGGAAAAACAAAAATCGATTAATGGAGAAATTGTGAAATTGAAAAATAGAAAATTTAAATATCTAGAATTTAAAAACCGAATAATCGAAATAGTGAAAACTCCCAAAACTGAAATATCGAAAAATTGCAAAATCGGACAAAAATTGAAGAATCGAAAAACTGAAAATCGAGATATCGAAAATTAAAAAATTGACAAATCGTTAAAGCCAAAATCGAAAAACAGAAAAGTTAAAAACTGAAAAGTTTTAAATTTTAAATTAGAAAGATCGATAAATCGAAGATTTGGGAAATGGAAAAATCGAAAAATTGAACAATCAAAGAATCGAAGCCTCAAAATCTCGAGAAATCGAGAAATTGAAAAATTAAAGTATCGAAAAGTTGAGAATCGAGAAATCGAACATCAAAAATCTAAAAACTGAAAAATATAGAATTTAAAACTCCAAAGATCGAATATTTCAGAAATCGAAAAATCCAAAAATTGAAGAATCGAAATATTTGAAAAATTCAAAAACTGAAATATCGGACAATTGAAAAATGGGAGAAAAATTGAAAAATTTCAAAACTGAAAAATCGAAATATTGAAAAGTCGAGAAATGGGAAAAACAAAAAATCCATTAATCGAGGAATTGAGAAATCGAAAAATAGAAAATTTAGAAACGCCAAAATTTGAAAAATTGAAAAATCCCAACAGTGAAATATCGAAAAACTGATTAAACGAAAAATTGAAAATTACACAAGAATCGATAAATCGAAAAATTAAAAAATGGAAAATTCCAGAAATTGAAACAGAATCTCGAAAATTTAAATATCTAGAATTTAAAAACCGAAAATTTGAATAATCGAAAAAGTCAAAATTGAGGAATCAAAAAGATCAAAAATCAAAAAGTTGAGAAGTGGAAAATCAAAAAATTGACAAATCAAAAAGCCAAAATCGAAAAATCGAAAAGTTAAAAGCTGAAAAATTTTAAAAATTTTAATTAAAAAAAATCGTTAAATCGAAAAATTAGTAAATTAGGAAACTGAAAAATTGAAAAATTAAAAAATCGAAAAATTGAATAATCCAAAAATTGAAGAAATGAAAATTGAAAAGTCGAAACATTGAAAAGTCGAGAAATCGAGAAATGGGAAAAACAAAGAATCGATTAATGGAGGAATTGAGAAATCGAAAAATAGAAAATTTAAATATCTGGAATTTAAAAACCGAAAATTTTAATAATCGAAAAAGTCAAAATTGAGGAATCAAAAATTGAATAATCGAAATAGTGAAAACTCCCGAAACTGAAATATCGAAAAATTGCAAAATCGGACAAAAATTGAATAATCGAAAAACTGAAAATCCAGATATCGAAAATTAAAAAAATGACAAATCATAAAAGCCAAAATCGAAAAACAGAACAGTTAAAAACTGAAAAATCGAAAATTTTAAATTAAAAAGATCGATAAATCAAAGATTTGGGAAATGGAAAAATCGAAAAATTGAACAAGCCTCGAAATCTGGAGAAATCGAGAAATTGAAAAATTGTAAAACCGAAAAACTGAAAATTCCCAAAATCAATAATCTAAAAACTGAAAAATATAGAATTTAAAACTCCAAAGATCGAATATTTCAGAAATCGACAAATCCAAAATTGAAGAATCGAAATATTTGAAAAATTCAAAAACTGAAATATCGGACAATTGAAAAATGGGAGAAAAATTGAAAAATTTCAAAACTGAAAAATCGAAATATTGAAAAGTCGAGAAATGGGAAAAACAAAAAATCCATTAATGGAGGAATTGAGAAATCGAAAAATAGAAAATTTAGAAACGTCGAAATTTGAAAAATTGAAAATTACACAAGAATCGATAAATCGAAAAATTAAAAAATGGAAGACTCCAGAAATTGAAACGGAATCTCGAAAATTTAAATATCTAGAATTTAAAAACCGAAAATTTTAAAAATCGAAAAAGTCAAAATTGAGGAATCAAAAATTGAAGAATAGAAATGGTGAAAAATCTCAAAACTGAAATATCGAAAAACTGCAAAATCGGACAAAAATTGAAGAATCGAAAAACTAAAAAAATTCCAAAACTGAAATCTAGAAATCGAGAAATCGAAAATTTCAAAATATGTAATCGAAAAATCGAAAAGTTAAAAGCTGAAAAATTTAAAAATTTTTAATTAAAAAAAAATCGTTAAATCGAAAAATTAGTAAATTAGGAAACCGCGAAAATCCAAAAATTGAAAAAATCGAAAAGTTTTAAAACCGTAAATTAAAAATTCACAAAATCAAAAATTTTTAAAATTGGAAAATTAAATTAACGAAAAATTGAAAAACCTAAAATTTAAAAATCAAAAAATGAAATAATCGAGAAATCAAAAAATTGGTCTAAGACTTTAGACAGTACTTCCCTCGCTGTCGGAAACGTGACGACTGCACGCCTATTATGTTTTTTTCGCATTAGATTTCAAATCAATCGGTTTTGTAGTTTTTGTTTAAATCAATAAAATAAATTTGCGCATTCATTAAATTTTTTGAATCACCCTGTATATCCAGATCAAAAAATATGAATGGAATGATAAATTACAAGAAGAGACTCATCAATTTTTTGGAGGGGATAAGCAAATATATTTTGACTAAAAATTCATTATGCTCTTTATAACCTTAAAACATCTGCAACATTTCAAAGCATTCGGGTTAGCAGATTCAAAATTAAATTGCAACATGTTGAACTGTAATTCGTGTGACCTGAATTAAAGTAAAACGCGTCTTTAAAAATATTATGACATTTTTTCTATTGTAGTTAATTATATTGTTGTTGCCAACATAAGTCGAGGAATCCTCAATCGTCATTTAATTTAAACTATGACGCTTCTCTATATTCTGTGGTCACTACCAACCTAATCCCGCGTAAATCACCGCAAACGCAGAACCGGCTTGAGCAAAAGCGCGCCGGTGCTCGGGACCGTAACGAATAAATGCGATCGCACTTCCCACATTTTATTATGGAAAATTCATACAAAACGTCACTTCTGACTCAAAACATAACTAAAATAAATAAATAAGTTAAACCTTGTTTACAACTAGTCAACAGAAATAAAGTTAAATCATAAATTAAAATCAAACTTAACGATGGACTGGAGAAACCTAACTGAAATAAATATTTGGTTTGAAACTTAAAATACATTCAAGCGACTGGAACTTAACTTCGTTCGTCCGTAAACTTAAGTAATATGGCATTTGGTGTCTGATTCGTTAGAGCAGCTCTGGCGAGACACTACAACTAGGTACTTGCAGTCTTTGTATAACGTCTTGTAACTGTGGATGGTTGTGTCCACTGTACGACAAAAGAATGGGTCCGTTGAGCGTCGTCAGGCAGCCTTCGCAGTTGAGGGTTTTCTTCTTCACACAGACCCAAATGTGCCTATTGTTCTTTGTATCACAGTGTATGTAAATATGGCCGTCGTGGATTAGCACCAATTGACCTCTGCCGCTTTTAATCAACATCAGACCTCCACCTAACCAAAACAAACGTCGGATTTAAAAATCGCTTTATTAAGAAAAACTTACAGTTAATGTTTATAAACGAGATAAAATACGACAGTCTCAAAAATCACTTTCAAAATAAAAGACTACACCTAGGGGTAAGAGAGATTGACAGAACTTAATCTGATTGGTATAAATGGCACCTAATCTACCTGTGTAAAATATAGAGACCTAACAGTCTGTATATACACAATAGACACAAACTTTGTCAATTTTGACATACATTTCAGTTGTACCCTTTGAATTTACCAGAAATTAAAATAACGAGTCAAATAATATCACAAACTTTACGCAAAATGGCAGTTAAGAACGAAATTCAGTTTTGTGTCTTCTTAACTGTACGACGTCTGCCACAAAACCTCTTGTAAATTTTGTATAGGAACTTCCGTGTCTTCGTCTGGGTTAAACACGTCTGGAATGACCGGATGAGTGTGCATATACGGCCACTTTACTATATTGCCGTTCATTGTCCAACAAACGGCCTGACATTTTTCAGGTGTCCTACTATTTTTACAGTACCAAAACGCCTTTCCTTTGTAAACGCTCTTCTTATAGAAGACGTAACCATCAACAATCAGACGTGGATTACCCCGTCTTCCCAGAATGCACTGCAGGGTTCCTGCAGATAAAATAATACACTGACAATTAAATACCAATCCACAAACAACAACTACACAATTATATGGCATTGCATGCAACATTCACGTTCTAGTACTACAGAAGTTACTCGCTAGAAACTTCAATAAAATAATCCGCTTTCGCTCGAGGTGAAACTAATGTGGAGATGTAGGGCGACGGAATGCCATATAACGTAACTGAAAAGAAATAAGGTATTTAAGTTGGAGGTGTATTATTTTATTGAGGTTCCCGATTGTCAAAATTCCAGGAAAGTAATTCGGCCGACGGCATCACTCATCCATTTCGTTGTCCGTCAAAGTAAACAAATAAACCACTGAATTAATTTACGTTTTAATCACTATTTCGAAAACCGGGGGACTTTGCATCATACTCTTGCACAAACCACTCACTATCTAAATATTGTGCAACCAAAAACAAGTTGCGCCATAAAATTAAACAAATAACGTCGTCACAGAAACATTTTTAAATCCAGAAACTCTTTTTTGAGTGCAATCAAGAACCCTGTGACCAAACTCAAAAACCACTCCACACCGACTCACGATTTCTGTTTAAACAGCGCTGCTTTAAAAACAACTAATAAATCAAAATCTACGTCAAAACTCACTTCAGTCACATACCTGGCGTCGACGAATCCTGAGGTTTGTTCAACTCAGGGGTCTGCCACTTTGACGACTCCCCCAGTTTTGAATCCAACATGGTCGACAAATCCATGCTGTTGTCCTCGAATTTCTGCGACGCGTTGCTTTCGGTGTCATCCTGGGGCTCCTCTTTGGGTTTAATCAGAGCTTCGGGAAACTCCTGCTCCTCCTGCCGCATCGCCTCCTCTATAATGAGCGCTTTTTTGGCGGGTGGAGGGTGCGGCGACTGCGGAGGTTTGGGACTTTCGATGGGCCTCAGCGGCTGTACGGGTTTTATCACTTTTTTGACAGGTCGCTGGGGTCTTTTCATCATCTGTCTTTGGTCGGAGAGATAGGGGCTGCGGCTGGTTCCGCTGTAACCGTTCGACTCCTAAAAAAACCGTCTTAATTGAGAAAGATTGGAAATTTGGGACTTACACTGGACGACGACGGCGACGAGCTGTTGTCTGTCAAACCCTTAACTTTCAACATCTCGGCAACCCTCATGAACGTGGGGATTTCCTCCTGACTCACACTGACTTCGCCCTGATACATGAACTGCAGCAAGTTGCATAAAGCGTTGTAGTTGACGTCCGGGAGTATGACAATCGGGTGTTTGCTGGGATTCGCGCGGAACAAGTCTTTGAAAAAGGGGCTGCACACGGACAAGACGGTTTTGTGTGCTTTCATGAAGCGGCCGCCGGCAGCCAAAGTAACGTCGACTAAATCCTCATCTTTGAGTAAAGAGTTGAAACCCGAGCTTAGGTTACTGTGGAAATTGTTCCAACAGAGAGAGAACTGTTCGCCTTCCATTTGAAACGGTTATTGCTGGAAAAAAAGCAAAAAATTTTGGGTCAAGGGGGGCGTGTGAAAGGGGGCTTTTACCTGTGGTGTGAGCATAAGGGGGGCGTTTTTAAGTACTTTGAGGGGCTGCGGGGCCTATGCCACTCGAACTTGTTCGTTTGATTGCGATTTACCCGGACTTTTTTCTAGCATCATAGAAGCATGAAAATGGTGGACGACAGTTGTGACGTCACAGGTTGAAATGTCAACGCGTTACGTCGAATTTTTATGACAGTTTGTTGATAATAAATAATTTATTAGTTTAGGGGGGCAACTGATAACAACTGGCGGTTAGCATCACGTGAGGTATTAATTTTTAGGTTTTTTTTTTGAAAATTGATTCGATGTTGGACGGTCGAAAAAATTTAAAATTGAAGGTTGCCTTGAAACAATGCTGGGCGCATGCGCTCTCTTGGCTAAATCACGTGACCGCCAATCTAAAACTTACTAAATAAATAATGAAAACTTCTTTAATTAGCGACGTTTTAATGAAAATTGGTCTGGGCGACTGGAAAAGGGTGGATGCAACCATTTTTTTTGAGTTTTTGTGTCCAATCTAGTGAATCATCATAGCGAATGGTTAATTGTGTGGAAAGATAAGGAAAACTCGAGAAATCGAAACCTTGGCAAGTCGAAAATGGGAAAATCAAAAAATAGATTAATTGAGAAATCGGAAAACTGATAATTCAGAAACATCAAAACTTGAAAATTTAAAAAATTGCAAAATTGAAAAAGTGGATAATTCAAAAATCGAAAAGCCGAAAAGTAAAAACACGAAAAACCGATACATAAATCGAAACATCGAAAAATTCAAAAACTGAGACAATCAAAACATCGAAACATCCGAATCTCGATAAAAAATTGAAAAATCGAAAAATTCAGAAATCGAAATATATAAAACAGTCGAAATTTGAAATATCTAAAGTTTGAAAAACGAAAAACTGAAAATCCAAAAAATTAAAAATCGAAAAGTCGAAAAATAGAAATATTGAAAAATCCCAAAACTGTTCCGTTTTTCATGTTTTCGAATTTTTCAAATGTTTTGATTTCTTAATCTATCGACTTTTCGACTTCCCGGTTTTAGATTTTCTGTTTTCCAATTGTCGTTTGTTCCAATTTTTGATTTTTTAGTTTTTCCAATTTGACATTCAAACTGTTAATTTTTCGATTTTTCAATAATCGATGTTTTGATTTTCCCATTTCTTGACTTTCGAGGGTTTCGATATTCCTGTTCTTCAATTCTTTAATTTTTCGATTTTTCCTTTTTAGTTTTTTTGAGGTTTCGATTTTTCGACTTCACTTTTTGGATTTTTCGATTGCTCAATTTTTCGACTTTTTAAGTTCTCAGTTTTTGGATATCTCAGTTTTGGGATTTTTCAATATTTCGATTCTTCGACTTCTCGATTTTTGACTCCTGGATTTTTCGATGTGTTGATTATTTTACTTTTTCGATTTTTCAATTTTTCGATTTTTAAATTTTTAATTTTTAAAATTTTAGATTTTTCGATTTCTCGATTTTTCAGTTCAGTTCTTCGATATTTGAATTTTTCAAGTTTTCGAATTTTTCAAATGTTTCGATTTCTTAATCTTTTGATTTTTCGACTTCCCGGTTTTAGATTTTCTGTTTTCCAATTGTCATTTTGTCAAATTTTCGATTTTTTAATTTTTCAAATTTGACTTTCATAAACTCTCAATTTTTCGATTTTTCAATTAATCGATGTTTTGATTTTCCCACATCTTGACCTTCGAACGTTTCGATTTTCCTGTTCTTCAGTTCTTTAACTTTTTGATTTTTCAGGTTTTTGATTTTTCAATTTTTCGATTTTTTAAGGTTTCTATTTTTCGACTTCACTTTTTTGATTTTTCGATTTTTCAGTTTTAGGATTTTTCAATATTTCAATTCTTCGGCTTTTCTATTTTTGACTACTGGATTTTTCGATGTGTCTACTTTTTTCCTTTTTCGATTTTTCAATTTTTGGATTTTTAAATTTTAGATTTTTCAATCTTTTGATATTTTAATTTTCCAATATTTCTTAATCTTTCGATTTTTCGACTTCCTGGTTTTAGATGTTCTGTTTTTCAGTTTTTCGATTTGTTAATTTTTCGTTCCCGATTTAATGTGATTTGATCTTCAGGTTTTCGATTTATTAGTTTTCAATTTTTTATTTTGGCCTATTTTGGTTTCTCAGTTTTTCCAGTTTTCCATTTTTTCGTTTTTTGATTTTTCCGCTTTTCTAATTTTTCAACTTTTAACTTTTTGATTGTCAATTTCTCAATTTAAAATCGAAAAGTCGAAAAATAGAAATATTGAAAAATCCCTAAACTGAAACAAATATTGAGAAATTAAAAAATTTGCCAACCGAAAAATCCAAAAATTGAAGAATTGAAAAACCTGAAAAATCGAAACTGCGAATTCGAGACGCGTGAAAATCAAAAAAATATATTAATTGAAAAAGCGGAAAACTGAAAATTTAGCAATGTCAAAATTTGAAAAATTGGAAAATAGAAATACTGAAGAACTGGAAAATCAAAAAATCCAGAAATCGGAAAACCTTAAATTTACAACATTGAACAATTGAAATATCTCAAAATTGAACAATGGAGAAACTTAAAAATCTAAAAACTGAAAAATCGACAAATCGAAATTCCAGAATTTAAAAAAATTGAAAAATCGGATAACTGAAAAATCGAAACATCGAGAAATAGAAAAAAATTGAGAAACTGATAAATTGAGAAACTGAACAATCAAAACATTCAAACATCTGAATGTAATAAATCGAGAAATAAAAAAAATTGAAAAATTTTAAAAATAGAAAAATTAAAACATCGAAAAATTGAAAAAAAAATTGAGAAATCGGAGTATTAAACTGTCGAAAATTTGAAAAATCTAAAGTTTAACGAAAAATTGAAAATCCAAAAAGTAAAAAAGGGATGGAAACCCAAAAACTGCAAACTGAAAAATTTTAAAGCTGGAAAATCGACGATTTAGAAACTAAAAATATAAAAATCAGAAAAACGCAAAATAAAAATCGGGAAGTTGAAAAATTGAGGGGACGAAAAATTGAAAAAGGCAAAAATTGAAAATTTGGAAGTCGACAAATTGTAAAATTGAAAAATCAAACTTGAAAATTTGAAGGAAAATTGAAAAAAACCTGAACATTTGAAAAATTGAATAAGCGAAAAATTGTAAAATCGAAAGAAACAACAAAAAAATAAGGGGGCCAGCACTTCTGACTTTGTTTTAAATCTTAGATTCTTCCGCTTGTCAAAATATAATTCAATGTCCATTTCACAATAAATAAAATAAGTTAGTCAAATGAGGAAGGAGGTGGGCGGGGCTATGTTCAGCTTTTTCAATAGACTTAATAACAAGAACTAACCCCGCCCACCCACCCACCTTCATTTCAGTGATTCTTTGTCAACTCTAAATGAAAGGTGGCTCTTATACTAAACAGAAGTAAAATTGGTAGTTAAAATGAGAAGAACCCAGGTGGGCGTGGTTAGTACTTGCTATGATAAAAGTGATTTTGGCACATAATATACCCTAGAAGAAAATAGGGGCGGGGGGCGGGTTTAGTACCTGGTACGGTAAGACTGAATTTGGCAAATGACATATCTTCTAAGAAAATACAGGGTGGGTGGGTGGGTGGGGCTAGTACCTGCTAAGATAAGACTGATTTTGGCAAATGACATACCTTCTAAGAAAACAGAGGGCGGGCGTGTGGGTGGGGCTAGCACTTTTGACTTTGTTTTATATCTTAGATTTTACCGCTTATCAAAATAGAATTCGATTCTCATTGTGCAGTAATTCAAATAAGTCAGTGAAATAGAGAAAAAAGGTGGGCGGAGCTGAGTTTAGCTTTTTTCTTAAGATTCTCTCTTCATTCCAGTGACTAATCTTTATTGTTCAGTCTTACTTTAACAAGATTAGCCCCACCCACCCGCCCTCTCTTTTCTTAGAGTGTATATGATTTGCCAAAATCAGTTTTCTCTTAACTACTAAAAAAAAAAAATGAAAAATTGAAAGAATGCAGTTCAAAAAATTGAAGACGTCAAAAATTGAAAAATCGAAAAATTGAATAATTGAAAATTGAAAACTGCTGCAATTCTTTCTTCACAGCCAATAAGAGTGAATGATCAAAATGGAATAGGGGCCGGTGGGAGGGGCTACTTTTTACTTTGTTTTAAATCTGAGATTCTACCGCTTGTCAAAATAAAATGCAACTTCGATTTCACAATAAATAAAATTAGTTAGTCAAATGAAGAAGGAGGTGGGCGGGGCTATGTTCAGTTTTATCAATAGACGTATGAGCAAAAACTAGCCCCACCCACCCGCCCACCCTCATTTCAGTGATTCATTTGTTTATTCTAAATGAAAGGTCGCTCTTATACTAAACAGAAGTAAAGTTAGTAGTTAAAATGAAAAGAACCCATGTGGGCGGGGTTAGTACTTGCTATGATAAAAGTGATTTTGGCACATGACATACCCTCTAAGAAAATAAGGGCGGGTGGGTGGGGCTAGTACCTGCTAATAAAGGACTGATTTTAGCAAATGGCAATAAAAATCGGAAACAAAAAAATTGGAAAAGGGAAAAATTAAAAATTGAGCAACTGAAAAATCGAAAAATGAAAAACTGTGATATTGAAAAATTGCCAAATTAAAAAATCGAGAAATCCAAACATCAAAGATCAAAAAAGAAAAATTCGAAAACCTAAAACTTAAAAATCGAAAAACTGAAAAATTGACGAATCGAATATTGGAAAATCGAAAAACCGAGAAATCAAAAAATCGAACCATCGACAAATAGAAAAAAATTGAAAAATTTTAAAAAAGAAAAATTAAAACGTCGATTGAGAAATCGAAGTAAAAAACTGTCGAAAATTTGAAAAATCTAAAGTTTAACGAAAAATTGAAAATCCAAAAAGTAAAAAAGGGGTGGAAACCTAAAAACTGCAAACGGAAAAATTTAAAAATTGGAAAATCGACGAATTGGAATCGAGTGGCCTAAAAATTTGAAAAATTGAATAAACGAAAAATTGTAAAATCGAAAGAAACAACAAAAAAATAAGGGGGCTAGCACTTCTGACTTTGTTTTAAATCTTAGATTCTTCCGCTTGTCAAAATATATTTCAATGTCCATTTCACAATAAATAAAATAAGTTAGGCAAATGAGGAAGGAGGTGGGCGG